AGGGGGAGCAACAACCAGGCATCAGCGGCGAAGGTTGTTGAGGCGATCCTGAAGGTCCGAGTCTGCGTTTGCGGCAACAGGCGTCCGCTCCGCATCCGAGGTGGGCGGGGCAGAGACAAGCGACCCCGACGGCGCGGCGTCGAGGGTCGACGCAATGTCCAGGCCAAGCTCGTCCATGACCTGACCAAGGATGGCATCCTCTTCGGCCTCGTCATCCTCGGAATCCATGACGTCGTCCATGACGTCCTCCATCATCTCCTGCTTGGCCTCGGAGATCTCCGTCTGTCGCTCAAACTCCATCATGATAGCCTGGATCTGCGGCATGTTGAGTTGCTGGTTCATCGACCGCATGGCCTTGGTCACGCCCACCATCGCCTGTGCCATGGCCTGCTGCGACTTGAGCGTCTGGATCCGGAGCGAGACCGCCTGCAGCTGTGTCCGCATCTGGTAGAACTTCTGGATGTACTTGCGCGTCCGGACGAGGTCCTTGGCCATCACCTTGGCCGCGCCCATCTGGTTGTCCTTGGCTGCCTTCTTGATATCCGCAATGATCTTCTTCTCCGACCGCTGCATGCTTGTCCGCTCACGATCCAGCTCCCGCATCGCCTTCTTCAGCGCCCGCTGGTTCTCTCGCAGGATCTCTGTCCGCCCCACCACCGATCCCACACCAGTCCATCACCGAGAAGAAGCGCATCCCAGAGCAGCCAGCCGAGAGAGAGAAAGAGAGGGAGACAGGAGAGGAAGACAATGACCCCGATGCACATGCCCCGGACACCACCCCCACGTCGACGATCAGCATCAGCAGCCAGCCCACCAGCAGCATGGGAAACAAGACAGCAACAAGTGAGTGATATTGCGCAAGGGGATGGGGAGACAGGAAGGAAGGAAAGGGAGGGGGAGGGGAGGAGAGGAGAGGAGAGGAGAGGGGAGGGGAGGTTGGTGGCTTCTCCCCGTTCTCTCGCATGTGCAACTGACGTACGCTTGGGTGTCTTCTTCCTGTGGCAGGCAAAGGGAAGGGAGAAAGGGGAGGAAGGGATGAGTGTAGAAGGACCGGGGGGAGGAGGAGGGGGGGGGGGGGGATGGAAGGATGAAAAGGGGGAGGGAGGAGGGGAGAGGGAGGGGGAGGGGGGGGGGGAGGGAGGGGAGGGGGGTGTTGTCGTCGACGTGACGGGCGTGTTGTCGGCGGTGTTACTCGTGTCGGCGTCGTCTTCATTCTGGGTATGGAAGCCATGGCCAAACCATCCACACCACCCACACCCACACCCACACACACACTCTCTCTCTCTCTCTCTAGCTCTCTCTAGCTCTTTCTCTGGCTCTCTCATCCCTCTAGGTATTGCTACTACGTACTTGCCAAACAGCCACTCCATGGTTGTTGCCTCGCTTTGTCGACAAGTGTGTGCCGCTCCCCTTCATCGGTCGGCTGCACACACCCCACACACCCAATCTCATGCCCCCCATTCTCTTCCTTCGCTCCGGTGAAACAATACGATAAGTGTGTTTGTAGAACAAGTTAAGCGGTGACAGGCTTGCGCATGACAACAAGGTGCATCGGGGTAAAGACGTTGAGCTTGCCGCCGTGGACGAGGCCGTCGACGGCAGTGAGGAGCATCTCGTGGACGTCGGTGGTGCCCTCGGGGCGAGGCCAAAGAACTCGGTGAAGATGCAGGTCATGTGGGTGAGCTGGTACGAGAGCCACGACATGTCGAGGCGCGAGTACCACGGGCGAGTGTCGACGACGTCCTGGGCAAGGTCTGCGTCCGAGATGACCTCAAAGCCGACAGCCTCGGCCGCGGCCTTGACGTCCTCAAACGAGCGGATCGGCGGGAGCGCGTTGCCGTACTCGATGTCCTTGATGGCCTGCACATGCTCCTCGTTGTTGGAGTCGTAGTTGGGCGTCGTCAGCCACTCGTACGACGCAAACACGCCGCCGGGCTTGAGCGTCCGGAAGACCTCGCCGTAGACGAGCTCGAGCTTGGGCGCATGGCAAGTGGCCTCGATGGCGTACGCCACGTCAAACTTGTCGGCATCAAACGGCATCTCCAGAAAGTCGCCCTGCACAACGTGCACGCGCTCGGCGAGACCCATCTCCTTGGCGTAGTTGTTGGCCTTGGCCACCTGGTACTCGTTGATGGTGATGCCCTGCACGTTGCCGCCAGAGTGCGACGCAATCGCGCGCGCCGGCCCGCCCACGCCGCACCCGACATCGAGCGCAGTGAGTCCGGGCTTGAGCCCAATCACGTCAGCGATCCGCTCCTCGTGCCGCCGGATCGAGTCGTCGTGCGACTCGGCAGTCTTGGTGTGCGCAAAGTGGAAGCTCTGGCCCCAGCCGTACTCGTACCAGTCAGACACAATGTTGTAGAACGAAGAAATCATCGCAGGGTTCTCGTCACGGTCGTTCTTGCCCTCGGACGTGATGTCCGCATGGTACGTGTCCCACGACGCCTTGACAGCGCCGTCCTCAAACGTCGAGAACAGATCCACAAACCCAGGCTTGTCACCCTACACACACACACACATACATTCACCATCATCACCATCATCCTCTCTGTGAGTATTTCCTCAGCAGCCAATCAAAAAATCTTATCATAACACCCCCCCCCCCTCCCCTGGCGCGTGAATACCCCCGCATCATCCGGAGAAAAAGGGCATTCGGCCGTCCATGGCTGACCCCCCGCACCAGAAAGCTGGAGAACCATCCCCACGCTGAGGGATCAAACCCCCCCCCCCGCTCGCCACCTTCATACGTACGTTGCTGAAGATACGGAACGAGTCGTTGGGCCAGAGGAGGATGACGGCAAAGGCCACCACAGCAAGCGAAGCAAAGGTACCCTTCATGTTGGATAACTGATAGAGAGGCGTACCGTCAACTCGTGACGCCGGCCTCCAGGTCCTGTCACTGCTGTCCCGCTGCCGATCAACCACAGTCGCCATTACGAAAAATCTGAGCCGCACGAGGCGGTGTCAAATTTTTAGCTGGGCCGCAGCCGCAACCTTACCCAACGGGCCCGCTTCTCGTAGTGCAGCGCACAGCACGCCTGCGTGGCGCAAAGGGTGAGCCAAAGGCGGGTGGGCAGCAAAAAAGAGTATCTGGGGTGCCTGGAAGGAGTAAACAGCTGCAATGCCGCAGAAGCTGGTCGCGGCGTAGAGGCAGTTTCGCGGCCACGTGATTGTGACGCAGGTCTCGCAGCCGCCCTACCACTTGGTCACCTCACACCAACAGGGCGGCACCAGTCAGCCCTGGCTCGGCGAGTCGCGGCGGGCGAAGGTAGGCCTCGATCGAGTCGGTGATCCGCGGAACTGCGAGGTACCCGTTGAGCAGTGTGTGGACGTGGCTCCGGACCCGCGCATAGAGCGAGCGCCGCTTGAGGATGCCGCCACCGAGCACGACGGTGTGCGGCGAGAGGACAAGCGTGACGTTGATCACCAGCTGCGCGAGATACCACGCCACCGCGTCCCAACCGACATCATCGTCCGGCACAGACGCCAAATCGGCGGCTGCCACCCCGAACCGCGCCGCAAGCCCGCCTGATGCCACATACCCTTCGACGCACCAGGCATGGAACGGGCAGACATGCAGATTGTCGATGCCGGCTGCCGCATCTGCAGGATGCATGCCCACACACATGTGCCCCGCCTCGGGATGAAGCAAGCCGTGGACTGCAGTCTCGGCATCCAGCGCCACACCCACACCAACACCCGTGCCCACAGTCACATACACAAACGCCGCATCGCCGACGTCCTCGGGCTCGGCGCCCGCGCCCGCCGCCATCCGCTCCGCAAGAGCCGCCGCATTGACGTCCGTCTCAAACGCCACCGGCACGCCAAATGCAGCTGCAAACGTGCCCACCACGTCGGTGTTGGCCCATCCGGCCTTGGGCGTCGTCGTGATGAAGCCATAGCTTGCCGAGGTCTTGTTGAGATCAACCGGGCCAAACGAGGCCACGCCGACGCCCACCAGCTCGCATCCGTCGTCATTGCCCTCGCCCAGCTCGGCTACAGTCTCACTAATCCACGCCACCACGCCATCCAGCGTCGCCTGCGCATCGCGCAACGTCGCCATCTCCGCCCGCCTCAGCGGCTCGTCCCACACGCTCGTCACAGGCGCTGCAAACACTGCCACCACAAACGTCGTCCCGCCAGCCTCGACCGCCGCTACCACTTTCTGGCTCGTCCTTCCATCCTCGGCCATCGTCGCAAGTGTAACGTTGGAGACGAGTGAGGCCAACACCGGCCTGTTGTCCCTGTTCCTGTCGCCTGCCTCTTGCGCTCGCAGCGAGCGCATCCTCGTCGCGATGAACCTCGGCGAGTGCAAAATCGCACTCCATCGTCCCAGACAAGTCACTAGATCTTACTCGGCAGAGTGTGGCGCCAGTCGTTGGCCTCCATGGCTATTTGCTGTCCTCCCATCTCGGCCGCGCGCCTCAGCTCCGTGTCATCAGCTGCAGCGCGCAGCCACAGGTCGCGTCAAGGAGCCCAACAACCATCGATCCAGCACATCCACCACACGCAACACATCCCCACTGCTGTGACTAGCCCCATTTTACCTCTACTACCGCCATGTGCTCATGCGAGCTGTGTTCCGGTCGGCATCGGCCAATATGCCCGCCGTGGCGGTGCGGCAGCGGTCGGCTGCGCGCCAAGTCAGCCAACGGTCACAGCCCCCGGTTGCAGGCGAGGACGGGCGCGACTAGGGGTGCAGCACGGACCACCCGACTCTACCACAGGCGAGGGGGTACGCCAGATGCCATTGTTTGGAAGTGGGCGGGAAAAGACGCCGAGGCGGCTGGTTGAGCGTATCAAGGCGGCACGAGCCTCGCACAAGCTCAGCCTCAGCGACGAGCGGCTGGACGAGCTCCCGCGCGAGGTCTTCAAGTCGGGCCTTCCGCTGTTCTCCGCGCTTTAGATGTGAGCATCAACAGCCTCTCCAAGATTCCGACTTCGCTAGGGAAACTGACTGCGCTCACCATACTCGACCTCTCGCGCAACGACATCAAGGTCTTGCCGGACGTCTTTGCTCCCATGGATGCTCTCACCCGGCTCAACGTCTCGAGCAACGCGCTCACCGCTCTGCCCGACTCGATCGGCAAGCTCGGCAAGCTCAACTTTTTCAATGCCTCGGAAAACTCGCTGGCCTCGCTGCCGAGCTCGATCTCGGGCCTGACCTCGCTCAAGGAGCTCGAACTGACGCGCAATGCTCTCGCCGCCCTACCGCCAGCTATCGCCAAGCTCACCTCGTTGCGGCTGCTGGACCTCGGCCACAATGAGCTCGTCGAGCTCCCGGCATGCATTGGCGCGCTAGTCTCGCTCAAGGATCTCTCGGTCAAGCACAACAAGCTCACCGCGCTTCCGCTGGAGCTCGGCAAGCTCCGCGATCTTCGAATCCTCAACGTCAACTCAAATGAGCTCGACGAGCTCCCGCCGGAGCTGGCCAAGCTCCGCGGCACACTCGCCATCATCGACTTTCAGGGCAATCCGCTCGCTGCTATGCCGCCGCACATCCGCACCATGCCAACCACTGGCCTGCTGCACTACCTCGACAACCCCGACTCTGACCTGTTGGTCGTCCCGGGCACGCTCCTCTCGCCCACCAACCGCATCGTCGGCCAGCCGTCGCAGGCCTCTGATGGCCCGCTTGAGACCATCGCCACGGTTCACCGTGATGGATCGACCGACCCTGATGCCACACGCTTCTTCGACAACCTCTCCAACTTTCACCTACCGGCCAACTGCAGAGCATCGTCGTCATCGTCGCGATCGCGCTCCTCCTCGCCCGAGTATGAGTACGAGTACGCCGAGCTCGAGCCCGAGCATGCTCTTGCGCTGGCCGCCGACGCCGACGCCGACGCCGACGAGTCGGGCGACTCGCTCGTCTCCGGCGACTCGACGCCTCGCACGCCGCCGCCAGAGCTGGCCTCGCGCGCTGATGTCCTCTTCTCGGTTGAATCCGAGCTGGACAACGTCCGCCCACTGGTCCTAGAGTCCGGCCAGGATCCGCCCGATCACGTGGTGGTGAGCGCCGGTGCCGCCGGAGGCATCGACCGCGCCGAAACGCTTTCGCGCATTTCGGCCGCGTTCGAGGCTGCGCGCGTGACGCCGGACATCGGGCTTGACGTTGGCATCAACCCTGGTCCCGCGCCGCCTACAATGGCGACGTCTGTGACAGCTGCAGCCGAGCCGCGAGTTCCGCGGCCGAGCGCGTTTGGCCCGCGCCAGTCGATCCTGCGCGCTCCGCTGGCATCGCGACCGCTCCGCGGCTCCAACACGCTGCTGTCGTCGACGCTTCGCTCGCCGGGAGGGCGGCGCGGGATCCAGTCGGCGGTCCTCCCGCGCGAGACGCCCGATTTTCTTCCGTCTTTTGGCACCGGCGCACTCGTCTTTCCTACCCGCGGCTCTTCGCCGCCGCCGCGTGCATCGCCGCTGAGTCGAGCCACGCCGGCCGGTGCTGCGCCGCCAGCCGCCAGCTCGCCAGCCCGCCAGCCGCAGCTCCTCTCAGCATCGCTTGGAGCCCGGCCCGAGTACGGCCAGCGGCTGTCGATGGCCATCGAGCCGCAGGTCACTGAGTTCTTTGCCTCGGGCCGTCATCACACCCCTGCCACCGCCGACACCCTTCGCTCGACGAACGCCTTTCTCCGCTCGGCGCCGTCGTCCGCCGCCGGGCTGAGCAAGACGGCCTCGGCCCGCGCGCCGGCCCCGTCCGCCGGTCGATGGTCCCGGCCCTCGCCTGCCACCGCCACCGCCGCCCCATCGCCTCTCTCGCGCCGTCCCACCCGCGCCGATTCCTATCTCGCCCGCTACCACGAGCTCACTCGATCCCTGTCCTAAACTACAACAGCGCCGCCGTCACCGCCGAGCCGCCAACCCAAGCTCGAACGATCGCCTCTGTCTCAGCACTCGACTCGTGGCAGGCGGTAGCTAGCGAGCCCGAGCGACGGATTGCAAGCCTTGGAGTAGGCACGGGCCGAGAGTGAGGCGATGGCGGCGAGTGAGCTTATTCGTGTGGGTGGTAGTGACGCTATGTGGGTGGTGGTCTTGGTCCTGGTCGTCGTTGCTGTCGGTCTGTGGCTGGGCGTGGTGGAAGCTCGGTTCTCTCCCTCCTTGTGGTGTGGCCGGCTGATGCGGGGCTTGTCGCTCATCGGTCACCCTGGCTTGGGAGAAGAGGCCATGGACGAGGACGAGCTTGAATGGTGGGCCCATCGCATACGTCTGGATGAAGGTCTGCGGAGGGACCAGCTCGCCGAGTACGACATCGAGCCTGATGGCAACTGTCAGTTTGTGGCCCTTGGCCAGCAACTGTTTGGATCGCTCGAGTGTGGCGCATGGGTTCGTGCTACGGTCTTGGATCACATTCTGGCGCATCCCGAGGCGTTTGCGGGCTTTGTGCCTGGCGGCTCGCTGGCTGACTTGCACAAGCACGTCCGATCCATGCGGACGCGGGGCGCGTGGGGCGATCACCTAACCCTCACCGCCGCCGCCCAGGTCTGGGGTGCTCGCATCGAGGTGGTAACCTCGGCACCTGCCGACGCTGACGATCCTGACAATCCTGCGGCACCGCTGGTTATCGAGCCCCCCGGTGCTGTTGTCTGGCCGCGCACCCTTCGGCTCTCGCACATTGCGCACGAGCACTTTAACTCTGTCTTTGATCTCGCCGAGCTGCGTACGCTCCGGCTCGGCCTCGATCTTCCGGGATGGAATGATGCCAATCTTGGCCCGCGCCCGTCGTGGCTCTCACGCCCGGTTGTCTTTTGCTACAGCCCGGATCGGTTTGCGGTCCTCCCCGACCGCGACAACGGCGTCTCTCTCGACTGCATGGAGCGGCTCGGGTAGCTGATGCCGACATCCATCATTGGACGCGATGAACGGGACTCGATGGAGGAGAATCTGGCATCAGGGACCACCGCCATCACCATCTGCCGTGAGCAGCATCCTCAGGCCAAAGCGAACCCACCAGCTTCTGTGCGAGTGTCATCAATATCTTCCGCAGAGCGACTGCTATCTGGTCACTCTAAAGTGCGAGGACTATCCGTTCAAGCACCGGGCGAAGCCCATCCGATCGATGGCATTGAATCCGTCAAGCGGCGAGACCCACCCGATCGATGGCATTGAAGCCGTCAAGCACCGGGCGAGGCCCATCCGATCGATGGCATTGAAGCCGTCAAGCACCGGGCGAGACCCATCCGATCGATGGCATTGAAGCCGTGAAGCACCGGGCGAGGCCCATCCGATCGATGGCATTGAAGCCGTCAAGCACCGGGCGAGGCCCATCCGATCGATGGCATTGAAGCCGTCAAGCACCGGGCGAGGCCCATCCGATCGATGGCATTGAAGCCGTCAAGCACCGGGCGAGACCCATCCGATCGATGGCATTGAAGCCGTCAAGCACAGAGCGAGTGCGTCCAGTGCGGGTGCGGTCAGAAGACCACCTGACTCCCCCACGACCGCCACCACCATGTCCACCACCTTGGACGTCTGTCTCTCACAGGTCTTCTACCACTACCGCGACCGGACACGCGGGGATGTACAGACAGTCATGCGCACATACCCGGGTCTTTCTCCCGAGGTAGCCACATACAGTACGCCCCCCCCCCTCCCCCCTCCCCCCCCCCCCCCCCTTGCCCGTACCCCCCTCTTCCTCCTTCCATGAACCCTCTTATGCGACTGCCCCCCAACCCACCCACCCCTCCAAACCCCTCCCCCTCCAAACCCCTCCAAACCCCTCCTCTACCCATTCCTATGTGTTGTGTACTTGAGCACCTGAGTGCCTGGTGCCTGTGGTTGTGGCTGTACACTGACCCTTGGTGTTGCTCTGGGTGAACGAATGAACGGGTCGGCGCGGACGTCTCGCTTGGCTCGCACTCGCTGATGTCGTGTCGCGCTGTGGCTGTGGTCAACGTGGATACTATGATCGTTGTGTGTTTGCTGGTGTTATGTTGTGATGTCGGTGTCGCGTGCGCTTGCCTTATCTTTGTCGCGGATGGGGAGCACAGCATCCAACACTGGCGCAGAGGAGACACTGCTTGCACTGACGGGTACAATTCCAATCACATACGCCGGAAACACGTACAACATCCCGGTCAAGATCTGGTTGCCGTCGGTCTATCCGTCGGAGCGGCCAATCGCGTTTGTTACTCCGACGACAACCATGTACATCAAGCCCGGGCATGACCACGTGGACCTCTCGGGCCGGTGCTACCTGCCGTACTTGACGTCATGGACAGGGACCAACTCGTCGCTCATCGGTCTTGTGGCTGCCATGTGCTCGGCGTTTTCGGCCTGCCCGCCGGTGGCCTCGGGCCCGCCACCGACCGCGACGCCGGTCATGGCATCGCCGCCGGCATGGGGCGCGGCGCCGGGCTACACGACACAGTCGAGCTCGTCGACAAGAGCCGCGCCGGCGTACACCGACACATCGCCGCCGGGCTACACACCAGCACAGGATCCGGTTGTGATGGTTCGCAAGCAGCTGGCTAAGGAGCTGACCGAAAAGACACAGGCCTCGCTCCGCGAGTTCTTCCCGCAAGCCACCGCCGAGGTTGACTCGCTGTACGAGATCCAGCGGAAGCGAACCCGCGAGGCCGCCATGTACAAGCACGAAACCGCCAGGTTTGAGAGTGAGCGCGACCACCTGGCGGCGGAGCAGGAGCAGCTGATGGTCGAGTCCGCAAAGATTGAGTCGTGGGTCGAGGCCAACCAACGCGACGACCGCGACGTTGACATCGACGAGATGACCAAGCCCAAGGGAGTCCTCAACCGCCAGCTCCTTGACGCCATGGCCAAGGATCGCGCCATTGACGACCTCTTGTACGCGCTCTCGCGCGCGCTCAATGACGGTGTCATTCTCCTCGCCGTCTACCTCAAGCAGGTCCGCAAGCTCTCCCGTGACCAGTTCCTCGCCCGTGCTCTTGCCGAGCGCATCAAGGCCAAGATCAACACCGGCATCTACCATGCCTAGCTCACCATCCCCTCCTTGCGCACTACATGTGCTTCCCATGTAAAAGCAGTGCAATTCCGAGCAACACCGCTATGTCCCGCCGAGCGGTCGGCAACGCGCCTTGTGCCTCTGCTCGCAGCGCAGTCACCAGCCACTCGACTCTCGCAGTCCGCTGTCTAAAGATGGCTGTGAGTCGGCTGACCATTGCGCTGTACTGGCCGCAGCTGATTTGCTATGCCCGCATTCTTCTTCTCCTCTGTGCCCTTCCCCTCTGCCACCTCGCCCCAGCCACCTTTGCCGCCCTCTACATGTACGTGACATACAGGTCTGTTTGCCCCACAGCAGTCATGGCGCCAGTCGTTCCCATATCCCACAACCACACTCACTCCCCCGTGACGTATGCTGCTGCATCGATCCCTGCATCTGCCGCCGTCGACATGCGGCATGCTGCATGCTGTCCGCATCATGGATATCTCTGTACTGACTGGTTGTGCTGGCTGTTTCCCTCGCCCACTGTTCTGTTGCCGATCTCGTTCGCCTCGTGACGTATGCTGCTGCATCGATCCCTGCATCTGCTGCCGTCGACATGCGGCATGCTGCATACTACCCGCATCATGGATATCTCTCACCCAACGACGGCAGCCTGCAAATGAGCCTCGATATGGTTGATGGCGCCCTGGCCCGTGCCCTGGGACAGACCTCCCGCCTCGGCGCTGTGCTCGACGTCGTCGCCGACAACCTCGCCCGGAGCCATCTGTACATGGTGGTGAGCGGACTCTACACTCACGAGGATCTGGCGCACGGCGATGGCGGCGCGTGGCGGTGGGGCGCACTCCTCGGCGGCATTGTCATTGTCGAGTGGGCCACCTTTGCCGCTTCGCATGCCTCAGCCATGGCAAGCAACATCCACTGGAAGGCTGCGCGAGAGGCTGGCGAGGCGCCGCTGCTCCTCCGCCTCATCTTTGCCAACGGCTTCAAGAACCCGCTTGGTGTGGTAGTCATTGGCGGCGTCTCACTCCTCCCGTGCTGGATGTACATCCATTACCACTTTATCCATGCCATCCAGCCGCTTGCCGAGCTCTCGGCCCTGTTCTACGCGGTCGGTGCAGTCCTGCTTGTTGGCCGAGTGCTGGGCCTTGCCGCCGAGTCATACGTCATCTCGCAGCATGTGGCCCTGCTGCTGGACATGGATGTGATTGGGACTCAGAGCCAGGCCGTGATCGACGAAGTCTCCACCCTCCATAGCAAGAGTGCTTGAAGTGCTCAGCTGTCGGTCTCAGACAATGGACTCCGCTCCTCGACAGCGTATCTGACCAGCAGTGGGCTCACCTCGGCCGGGACAAACGGGAGGTCCGCCGAATCAGACGACTCGCCGACGAGCTCAGGCGCACCAAGTCGGGTCAGGTACGCGGCGTACGTTGCGCGCGAGATTCGAAACTCGGTTCGGAGGTAGTGGAGCAGCCTGCGGATTGCACGGGTCCGCCAGCCGCGTTCGACGGCCTCGCTCACAGCGCCGATGAGGATCTCGACGTCGGCGGCCGCGCCCGACGCCAGCACATCCCGGACCCACTTGATAAGCGCGGCATGCGACGGCGAGAACACTCCGCCGTCGGCAGTCACAAACTCCACAAGGCGCTGGTAGAACTTGCGTCGCGCAGGCGCAGAGCTGAGATCATCCAGCATTCTCTCTTCCGCCGCCTCCCACGGCGACAGCGATGGCACGAGCTTGGTGGCCAGTGGAATGGCACACGCCTGTGCTCGAATCTCTGCCTCGGCGTCCTCGGCCCCATACCCGCCCGAGTGGTGGGTAGACTTGTCTGCCGAGTGGTGGCTGGGAATGGGAGGCAAGTCGACCGACTGTGCGCCGAATGCCTCCAATAGCTCGGCTTTGCGTCGCGCCGCTGCCGACTTGCGCCCGAGCTTGATGGCCTCGCTCGAATGAGTCAGCGCTAGCGCGTGCGCGTCTTCCATCGACACTTCATACAGCTTGGCAAGTCGCCCGGGTGAGGTAAAGGTAAGCTGGCGCGAGACGTTGCGAACGTTGAGCTCGGCCATGAGCCACCGGTCGCGCGTGTGCTTTGTCGCCTTGAGCCCGTCGCGGAGCCGCTTGACTAGCGCGTCGTCATCGGCGTGATCGGCCTGGATGATGGCATCCGGATTGGTCTCATACATGAGCTCGGTCTCGAGCTCGCTCAGTGGATGCGCCAGCTCGTAGTCGAGGAGGGAGACTGGGGCGTGGACGTCGACCTGTGAGTACGAGAGGAGCTGCGCCCGCGATGACGAGACCCGCTCGAGCTTGAACCGCTCCCCGGCGGTGCGCGGCGTCGTGTGGCTGTCTCGGTCCTCAGCCCCGGTCTCCGGCACGTAGCGGAGGACCGGAAAGAAGTCGCCGGCGGTCGGAGGGCGCTGGGAGACGACGGTCTGGCCCATGTTGGCGCCCTTGGTCCGAAACTCGGACTCGTTGACATCAGCGATCAGGTGGCGCGAGGCCGTGAGTGGCCGCAGCCGCCTCGGCGGAGATCGCTTCGGCGCGCGATGGCGCGGCTTGGTGGTGTGCCGCCGCCGCGGCAGCCGCCGGCGCACTGCAGGCGTCGACAGCCGAGATGAGGCCAGCGTCGATGGTGTTGACGGCGTCGACGGTGTCGATGCTCGCGAGCGCTGGCGAAGCCGCTGACGCGCAAATGAGACTCGCGAGCCCGGTCGGTGCAAGTTGGCCATCGACGCCTCGGCAACCACCTCCGCAGCGCGCTCGTGGATGACATTTGTCGCCCGAGATAGCGCTCGCTTGCGCATCTCAAGTTGCTTGCTCTCCGACGGCGAGAGCAGGTTGGCCGAGTGCGAGACCGACGACAAGTAAGACATCTCGCGCCCCGATGCCGAGACCTTGGCCGAGAACTGCGTCTCGGTCGAAGGCAGCCACTTTGCGTCGCGGATAGCGCGCCGCCGCTTGGCACCGTTGCGAAAGGTGGGCGCCGGAATCTTCGACATCTTGGTCAGCGCTGCTGCCGCCTCGGCCACGTTGTCCACCAGATCACCGACGCTGTCCGAGAGCGAGAGCCTCCCGGTGGCTTTGGCGAGGTGGTGGCCGAGCCCGCCGGTGTCCTCGGCAGCAACAACTGCCTTGCCTGACGCCGCGACGCCGCTGCCAGCCTCGCCCTTCTCCCGCTTGCCCTTGCCCGAGAGCGAGGCGGCGATACGGCGGCGGTGCTCGCGGAGCGCTTGCTTGCGGGCGGCACGGATGCGGGTCCGCAGAGTGGTGCGGAAGCCGGGTGAATCGATGTACGCCTTGATCTTGCCCCATCTTGTGCGAGCCATGATGGAGGCCGAGCCCTTGGGCGCCAGACGTCGTGGATCGAGCTCGCCCTCGAGAGCGGCCTCGTGCTGGGCGAGGACAAAGTTGGCCTCGGAGACAAAGGTCCTCCGATTGGCGGTGATCGACCGCGACTCGAGCGGATAGAGAGGGAACGCCGCAGATGGAGTCGACCATTGCGGATCATAGACAGAGGCGTTTGTCTTGGCCGACTTGCGACTCCGTCGGATTTCAGCTGAGGACAGAGCGCTCGAGGGTGGTTCGGGCAAGCTCGGCACCGGCATGTGCTCGGTGATGAACGAGAGCACGTCCTCAGGTCGGGTTGGCGTAGCAAGCGAGCCCTGCAGGACATGTTTCCGTAGATTGGCCGACATGCCACTATGCTCCCTCTCTCCCTACAACCGTACCGTCCCTCTGCCTGCGTTCTTGACTGAGCCAAGTACCTCTACTCCCCTCCCCTCAGGCTCCTCGCTGTCTGTCGCTCCCCGCAGTTCCGCAGAGTCGCTCCCCAACCGACTCGCTCGGCAACTCGGCTGGCCGACTCGCTCAACGACGTGACCTGTGCGGGGAGACAGTGGCAGAGGCAGACGTACCTGACTGTGCTCCTCTGACGGGCCAGTAGGTATGGAGAGAGAGAGGCAAGAGCTGCTTACGGTAGGAGGGGCGGTGGCACAGCTGGTGGCAACGGGTGAGGATGCGCTTGTGGCGGCCGACTCGCTGGAGTGGCATCTGCCGCTGCCGTTGCTGGCAGTGACGGCCGCAGGCAAGAGGATGCTGGATGTGGTGGATCTGCTGCCACACATCGCAGCAGTTCATGATCCTACCTTGACAACTGCGGCAGAGGCTCAATCTCACTTTGCTCGCCTTCGACCGGCCCGGGAGGAGCTGGCACGTGCCATCGACGCGCTTGTGCCGCTCGTTGCCAGCGAGCAGGCGCCTGTTGAGGATCTGGCTCGTCTGCGAGTAGCGGTGCAGAGGAAGGCACGAAAGACTGTATTGCTTGCTGCTCGTGCTGCAGGGCTGCCGCCCCCGGATTCGTTTGATCGCGTCCGGCCAGAGCAGTCGATCCCGCTCGCGAGTCCAGAGTGCAGCCCGGTGGCGCCGCCAGAGATTGAGCCGGACAGTGGCGACAACCCCGATGTGACCCGGGATGCGGGAGATGGCTTGCTTGACGAAGCCTCCACGTCGAGCTGTGTGGGCAGAGTTGAGAGCACATCGTCACTGCTGGCGACGGTGGCACTCCTGCAGAACGAGCTGCGGCGCAAGGAGAACGCAGTGGCCGAGGTGCGGGCGCAGGCTGCCCTCGACTGTCGTGCGTTGACCAAGAGAGTGGCAGCGGCAGAAGCGACGCTAGCGGCGGAGCGCAGTTCTCACGCCGAGGCATTGGCTGCTGCCAAAGCCGAAGCCGCGCGGTACAAGACGATGGCGGTCGATCTGCTGTCGGAGATGGCCACGACGTCGGACGAACTAGATTCTCTCGCTGCCATCAACGCGTCGCTGCAGGCTCAGGTGTGCGAGCTCGAGGCGACCCGGATCCGGACCGATGCGGTCGTTGAGCAGGCGGCTGCGCTCAACACCTCGCTTTTGCGGTCACATCACGCGGTGGTCCGCGAGACGAACGAGGCAATCACGTCAGTTGTCGAAGCGGCGGCGGCGCATGTGCCGCGACGAAATGCATCGAGCGGCACGTTTGCAACCTGTCTGCTGCCGGACGTGTGAAGCTTGGCAGCGGGTCAGACCGGACCGTAAAACGCAAGCCGGTCGATGACTGAGACCTCACCCTCCGCCTGGTTGGAAGCGACAAAGAGGGTGAGGTGATCGACGCGGAGGAACGCGGCGTTGTCGAGCATGATGAGCTCGTGGCCAAAGGCCTGGCGCTCGCTAAGATCGAGCTCGAGCGCCGGAATGGCGTCCTCGGCGTCGTCAAAGTCCATGTCCGGCGAGTTGATGAACAGCCGCAGGCTCTTGGGTGCCGAGCCGGCCGGACCACGGAGGAGAAGCGCGCCGAGCTTGACCATCTTGGTAAATGGAATGGAGAGCAGCAACTGCTCGTCACAGTCAGAGACGACGCCGGCCGACGAGTTATTGAACAGCGCCCGGAGCGAGCGTGCCGAGTTGGACTCGTCCATGTTGAGGCAGATCATGGCGTCCTTGGCCACCACCTTGTCGAGCGACGACTGGCCGGAAGGGACGAGGCCGACTGCCGCAGCGCCGGCCTTGGACGCTAGATGGGCGGCTGCCGACGACGACGCGCCACCGGCTTGCCCGCTCGCGCTTGCGCACCCGTGGTCAAACTCGTGGCGGTGCTTAAGGCAGTGATGCTTGCGGCAGCCAAAGCACAGGTTCTGGACCACGCCTCGCTTGCTGCATCCGTCCATCGAGCACTTGTACTTGGCCTTGACCTTGACCGCATCCTGCGGGCACTCGCCCGACTCGACATGCCTCGCAAATGCCACAGATACTGTCTCGCCGTTGCCGACACCGACTGCTACAGTGCACATTGGACAGTTGAGGATCTGGCTCGATCCACCCGCAGCCGCCCGTGATGGACAGCTGTGTGCCTCGTGGCTAAAGTGTTGCAGGCAAAACACGCCCGAGCACGCATGGCACTTGAAGGGCAGGAAGTCTGTCCCCGCCCAGTCCAGTCCACCGCCCAGAGACCGCCATCGCCCAGAGACCGCCACCGCCCAGAGACCGCCACCACCATCGCCATCGCCATCGCCATCGCCATCGCCATCGCCATCGCCATCGCCATCGCCATCGTCATTGCCATCGCCGCCGCCATCGCCATCGCCATCGCCATCGTAAGTCCATTGCCATCGCCATCGCCATCGCCATCGTAAGTCCATTGAAATCACCACCACCCACCCCCCTCCTCTTCCTCCACCTCTTCCTCCAACCTACCCAGCTGCCCACATCCCGGCTGACTGCAATGCGCACCCACGTCAGGGAACTCCATGGCAACTGGCTCTGACACACGCCGAGAGAGAGAGCGCGCGCGAGGGTCAGAGTGGGGAGACGAGTCTGTACCTCTGTGCGCCGTATCCGTCCCTCTCCTCTCCTCGACCCTCCACTCGGCCAGAGTGCTGTGCCATGGCTGCGCGGCACTCGCCGCTGTGGAGGAGATCGCTTAAAAAGATCACGCGCATACACCTGCACAATGGCCAGTTTAAAGCGTTGCGGCATTCGTCTCCAGGTTGTAGATGTGGGTGCTTGGATTACAGCATAGACGCGCCCATAGTGGGTGGGCGACTCGAGGACGGTATGCGGCACGGCCTGTGCCTCGTCGCGATCCACGACATTGAGCTCTACTCTGTTTTCAGCTAGATCCTGAACGCCGTTGTTGGTGTACATGGTATGGGCTTGAAAGAAATCGTCGTCGGTCTCGTTCGCTGACCGCGTCATTCGCCACATGTCGATGCCGTTGCCCGCAGCGATCGCCACCCATGTCGACCACAACCACAGATTGCATGTCGAAGGCTTTCGAGTTCACCATCTGCTTCAAGCCAGCCGCCCCGCTTCCGTCTATGCGTTCTCGTACCGGGAATTTGCACCAGCGCCTCTCACCGCCGTAATCAGGTCCAAATCGACATTGCTGTCCTCGCGGCCGTGAGCACAGCCTCCACGCCACCTGCTGTCACACTCACCAGCTGCTTGGGACAAAGGTCGCGGTGTACCCATCGCCATGGCACTACAGCGCAAGCATCTCCCCTTACTCATCCAGCCATCGCTGCGCCTTGGCCCAAAGCGCCTGCCGCCGCTGCTTGGCCGCCGTCACCCGGGTCTTGGCCCGCCGCGCTCGCTTCCACGTCGCCCAGCTGCTAGCCACGAGCCGTACTTCGATGGCACGAGTGATGCTGGCCTCGGCGGTATCACGGGCCTGGCTCCGACTCGCTGCCATCTGCATCCACGCGAAAAAGTGCGAGCTGAGCCTGGTCTTGCGCCGGCGGCTTGTCACGGCGGCTTCAGCGCGACGAAGTGCCGCAACGCGCTGTGCCCGCATCGCCCACGAAGCAAGCGCCGATTTGAGGAGCGAGTGCGCCCGGAAGCCGTCGGCCGCCCGCGCATGCCGTGCCACCAGCTGGCGCCACGGTCCCAGCCCGCGGTATCGCAGTGCGGCTCGCGCGGCGAAAGCATCGGCTTTGGCCGCAAGCGCCTTGAACCGGGCCGCTGCTGCAGCACGTGCCGCCGCCGCCTCCTCGGCCTCAATCACTGCCGCTCGCTCAGCCGCAGCCCTGGCTGCAGCTGCAGCCGCAGCCTCAGCCGCCGCAACACGCACTGCGCCGAGCGCAGCTGCCTCGGCCGCAACAGCCCTGCCCAGCTTCCGCACCGCCCGCGCCCGCGCCCGCGCCTCCATCTTTCGCGCCCGTGCCTCCATTGCCGGAAAGCCAACTGCCTGCGCCACCGGACGGACCTTGCGATTCCGTCGCACCCGCTGTGGTGGAGCGGATGCAGTAGCAACCGGATCAGGCTCTACAACCCTAGTCGATGCGGCTGCGCTCGAGAGAACAGATTCCATCAGCGCCTTCCGCCGCTCGTGCCCTGCGCGGGCAACTGCGTCTGCGCGCTGGACTGCGGCGGCCGCTCGCCATCCAAGCAGTGCACGCGACATCAACTGCTGGCGTGCAAATGACAGAGCGGCCTGGGCCTTGATCTTCTCGGCCCGAAGTGCCTCGATGGTGCGCAGCCGCTCAGACACTGCCCGTGCCTTGGCTGCAGCCCGGACCCACGCGCCAAACCACCGCCCGCGCCGCTTCCACAGCACCACGTCTTCGGCAGCTGCCCGAGACTGGACGAGTGTCACTGCCCGCGCATGCCAACGCCGCAGCATCCGTCGTCCTGCGGCGGCACGTGCAGCGTGGAACTTGTCGTCGGCCGCCATCCGCGCCGCATGCAGTGCCTTCTCACGCGCTGCTTTTGCCGCAGCCTCGATCTTGGTGCGTTCGCGGGCGGCTGCCTCGCGCCGCGCCGCTTCGGCCGCGGCCGCCGCCTTGCGCGCTTTCTCGATCCGTGCCTTTCGAGCTCGCCGATCTTTCTCCAGCGCTTGGTTCCGCAGTCGCTCGGCCTGGGCCTCCTTCTTTCGGCGGGCTTCCAGGACCCGACCCCGCCGCTCGACCTCGGCCTTCTCGGCCGCGGCCTTGCGGGCAAGCACGGCTGCTCGTCGGGCAATTCGCCGCTGGGCTTTAGCCTCAGCAACGGCCTTGGCAGCCTCAGCCAGCTTGACGGGATCAGCTGCTGTCGCCTCCTTCTCCACCGCCCGCGCCCGCGCCCGCTTGGACATGGAATCGCGTTTGGCCGCGGCCTTGACCTCGCTCGGATCATCGTATGCAGGTGCCGCAGTTCCAACTACCTGTTGTCGCCATGCATCCAGCAATCCGCGTGCCTCGCACGCCACTGCGTCGGCAGCATCCGCATCCAGCAAAGTGCCCACAATCGTCGCCGCCGGCTCCTTCTGCGTACTCGCCCGATCCGCCTCGTCTTCCACTGCAACATTGCCATCCAGTCGCGCCAGCGGTGTCCGCGCCCGAGGCGAGCCTCTCGCCGGCTGCATCCGAACCAGTCCTCTGTTCAGCTCGGTCAGGCGCTTCTGGATCTCGCTCCCGCCCCAGAGCCCTGTCCGGCCACTCTGCTGGCCAGCACGAAAGGCAGCAGTCGCATCCACCGCTGCAAGCCGCCGCACCCGAGGCACGGCATTGCTCCCTCCAGCATCAGCGCTCGCATCAGCGCTCGCATCAGCGCTCGCATCAGCGCAAGCCATTGAACGGCGAGCAGCCGCAAGCACAGCATCGACATCGACATCGGTCTCGTCGAGCTGCGAGTATGCGTCAGCGAGGGCGTCGCGCTTGACGCAAGCAATCCAATGCTCAATGTCCCCCATACCCGCACGACGCAAGATGATTACTAGCTGCTATCTCTTTCTCTGTCGTCTGCTCAAGACCTGGCGCCGTAAGTACAGAAGCTACGCAGGGAGTGGCGCAGGGAAAGGTGGTTGCCGTGGTTGGCGGACAGAGGTGGTGGCCGTGTTCGCAAATTTTGAATGGAATTTGGGTTCATCCGCGTCGATCGGACGGGCGCAGAAAGAGGGGAGGGGGGGGGGGGAGGAGGCAAACATGCATGCATGCGTACGCATGTACAGTTTCAGGTATGTACAATGCGATGCGATGCGATGGGAGGCGATGTCGGATCAATGATGTCCGGCCAGCAAGGCGAGGGTGATGGTGACCATGATGATCGTCAGAAGAGTAAAAACGCTAACCCTTAACGGCACGGTCGTTCGGATGCGTTGTTGCGCGTCTCAAAGTGAACAACTCGGTGACGCTTGACCTCCAGGTCACCGGCCGATACGTAGACGCCGATCCGGAGGAGCGGTGGGCGCGGACGGTGCGGAGCTTGTCGTTGACGACCCCGACGACCGGGAAGGAGAGCATGACAGAGCTGACCACAGCGGTCGGACGGGAGAGCGCGAGGATGTTGTGGATCTTCTTGCGACGGACGACCTTGCCGGTCGGCGTGGCCGCGCAAGTGGTGGCACGCCATCGTGTACTGGATTCTGGACGCTGCGTACGTGCTCTCTGCTGACACGAGCCCACGCCCCGCCACGACTCGCGTGGCTTTATCTACGACATCATCGACGCCCTCGCCGCCAGCGCCGATGCCGTCAGCTCTGCACTGTCGCGCAAGCGGAAGCGTCCCCTGCAGCGGCTGCTCGTCATCACCACTTTTCCCAGCAAGCCGCTCTGCGACGCGACTGCCTCGCCTGCCCGGAGGCTTCATGGTAAGCGATCGCGGCCGCGGACCTTTTGCGCTGCGTGCGGCGTCCATCTCTGCATCGCCGACTGTTTTCTGTTGTGGCAGCCAATAACACATTGTACTACTCTTTCACAACAATCCATGGACGTTGTGACGTCTGTGGAGCGTCGCGGAGCGCGGCTTGCGCGACGGACGAGTTTGTCCATTCCGTACCGTAAAAATGTTAAAGTTTGTCGAGTTTGTCGAGTTTGTCGAGTTTGCGGCGGTTGGACGGAAGGAGGGACAAGCTTCTCTGGGTTCGAGTCCAGGCAAGCAGGATGTCTGGAGGGCGGCGAATGCATGGAGGTGGAAGTGGATGGTCTGTGTATCCGGGAATGGTGGCCAGCTCGCGGGGAGTTGCTGGAGGTGGAAGTGGAAGGCTGCGCGAGAGGCCGCGGGCTCGAGTGCCGTCGCCTGTCGGCTCGCCGGTTCGTGCCGAGGGTGGTGATCAGTGGGGTCGGGTCATGGGCATGATGTCGCCTGGCACCCGCGAGCTGGCTGCTAACACCTACGCCAACAAGCACGCCAAGTGGGTTGAGGCCAAGGCTGCTGTGCTGGTTGTGGAGGAATCGGCCGCCGCCCGCAAGCACCGTGTCCTCTCCCAGGCGGCACTTTCCGATCCCCCGCACCCTGCCGAGGCCAAGCCCCGGGCGCTGGCCTTTGCTGACGAGGTCAATCTTCCACTCTGCCATGTTCTCCTCATTGATCCCCGTCCCAACAGGCCGTCTTCGATTCAGGTTACTGTCGCAGCTGCTGCTGCAGCGCCAAAGCCCGGCGATCTTGCCCTGGAGGAGCTTGCATCGCCCGCGCGCTCAGCCTTTGCCAACATCACCAACGCGACTGTAGCAGAGTCGAACATGGCGATGCGCAATGGCGGCGGCCGTAGCCGAGCGCACGCTGCCAAGGCTAAGCACGGCCCACGGGCGCCCCGCAGCAGCGGATCAGGCTCGACCGCCCGGGCCATGGCCCTGCACGAGCGCGAAATGCGCCAGATGCAGCTCAAGCTCGCCGCTATGCCGCTGCATCCGCTGCAGATGTTTGGCGTACCGCCACCTGGCCCGCACAGCATCCATCCTGCCAGAGTCCGCTCCGGCGGCTACCCTTCCAGCCATAGACCACCGGGCTCCAACTCTCGCGGACCGAGCCGATCGGCCGTCCCCCATGCTAACCCCAACCCCAACCCCAACCCTAACCCCAACTCCAGTCTTGGCCACAAGCCCAAGTTGCGCTCTGGCTCCATCTCCGTGCCGATGTCCGGACCGATGCCGTCGTACCCGTCGCTCCTGCGCTGAGCCCAATCCCAGGAGAGCGATCCTCATGTAATTACAATCTCTGTACCTTCTCCCCTTCCCCCTTCCCCCCCCCCCACCCACACACACACTTCACCCAAACCCACACTTTCATCCCCATCCCCGCCTCCCCAATCTACCCCATCACCCCACCCAGCACGACAGGCAGACTCGCTTCTCTCACCAGCCAAGTCACGCAAGCCCCAACACCTCTGCAGAGCCGGCATTCGACTCCAAATTTGAACACAAACCTCAAGGTATGCCCCTCCCCATGCAGCTAGTCACCGTCCTCCTCCATTCCCTGCCTGTCCTGCCTGTCCTGCCTGCCCTGCCCTGCACTCCCCTGCACTCCCCCCCCCCCTCCCCCGCCTTGCTTCGAACTCTGTTTTTTGTCACAGACGCTCTTCTCAAACCACTGACCTCACGAGCCGTGTGCCGCCCGCCCACCCGCACGCTGCCCCGCGCACGCTGCACACCATTACGCACCACTTACCGAAACGGAGGAGGGGGGCAGTGATACAGATGCGGAACATGAAGATGACGATGGGCGTATTGCTTGGCGTCCTGGTGATGGCGATGGTGGTGGTGAACGTTGTGGCTGGACATCCGTCGTACATGGGGGCGACGCCGCGGTGCCAGGAGATCATGACGCGGATGCGCGGAGCAGACTGGCCGTCCGAGGTGCTTGACCTCAAGGACTGCTACCTGAAGTACCTGCCTGCCGAGGTCGGGCTCCTCACCCACCTGACCAAGCTGGATCTGACCGGCAACGATCTGGACGAGCTCCCGTTCAACTTTGGCAACCTAGTGAACTTGCGCGAGCTCTCGCTGTGGGCCAACGAGTGGGAGCATGTGCCTGAGGAGCTCAAGGGCCTCAAGAGCCTGGAGGTGCTTGATCTCTCGTACATGAAGCTCAAGGTCCTGCCCGAGTGGCTGGCCACCGAGTTCCCCAAGCTCAAGCGATTCTCGGCGCACGGCAACGGCATCACCAAGATGCCGGACTCGTTTGCGTCGCTGCAGCTCGAGTACCTCAACCTGTACAACAACTCGCTGCACGAGCTTCCGTCGTGGATCTGCGAGATGACGTCGCTCAAGGAGCTGCACATTTCGCACAACGAGATTGCCACCATTCCCGACTGCATCGACAACCTGGTCGACCTTGAGGTCCTTGGTCTGTGGGACAACGACATCCACACCATTCCCGAGTCTGTGGGCAACCTGCGCAACGTGCGGCTGGTCTCGTTTGCCGGCAACGCGCTGCACTCGCTCCCGGACAACTTGTATAACCACTGGACCCACATCGATGACCTCGACCTCTCCAACAACGAGTTCTCGTCCATCCCAGCCGTCGTCCTCTCCATGTCGCACATCAAGGAGCTGCACCTTCACGGCAACTACCTGACGAGCGATAAGCTGCCGGCCGACCTCCGCTCGCTGCCCAACCTCGAGTACCTTTCGCTCGGTCACAACCGGCTCAACAGCCTCCCGCCCAACTTTCTAGCTGGCCTCTCCAAGCTCCGCCGCCTTGACCTCTCGCACAACTCGTTCACCGAGTTCCCGGCTGCTGTTGCCGCCGTCGCACCGCAGCTCGAGCTCTTCAACATCCACGTCAACGACATCAAGTCGATTCCCGACAACGTCCTCAGTTCCATGACCTCGATGCAGAAGCTCGACCTGCGCGAGACTGGCCTCACCTCGCTCCCGACCTCGCTCGGCACCCTGACCCAGCTCGAAGTCCTCGACATCGGCAACAACAAGATCGGCCCGCGGCTGCCCAACTTTTTGGCCTCGCTCGTCAACCTGCGCAAGCTCGCCATCTGGTCGTGTGGCCTCACTGAGCTCCCGTCGTGGATCGGCAACCTGCGCAATCTGGAGGAGATTGACTTTTCGTCCAACGACATCACCTCGTTCCCCAAGTCGTTTGAGCTCTGCTCCAAGCTCAAGGTCCTCCACATGCACTACAATCAAGTCTCCCACTTTCCCGAGTACCTCGGCACCTTTTCCGACCTCGAGGTCATCGACATCTACGACAACCCCATCCAGCACCTGCCCACTGGCTTCTGCGACGGCTCGCACCCGGTCTCGGAGCGCATGGCCTACTGGTGCTTTGCCCTCGCCGGCGGCCATGACGAGCTGTAGATGGCAGCGCGACTTGTAAAGCCATCCTTCCCCCCTACCTGAATGTTTACTCCTCCATGGCCTTCGGGTCGACCACGTACGACGGCGCAGGCTCTGTGTGTGCCGGGTACAGCTTGCCGCCCGTCGCCTCGACCGCCGCCATCAGTGCCGCGAGCGAGACGCAGCCGGCCACCGACGCGCCCAGCGACCGCGACCGGACACCAAGCGTCGACCCAGCCGCGCACCCGGCGATGACCGCGTTCCATGCATCGTTCTTGTTCCGCACAGACCGCACAACGCACTCGGACGCCGCAAACACCGCACTCACGGATGCAAACAGCAGCGCTTGCGACCTATCCACTCCACGGAGCCCAGAACCGTCCAGCGTCCGCGGCCCAGACAGAGAGTGCCCACAGCCGAGTGCCCACAGCCCACGCCCCGTCCGCAACGTTCCGCCGCCAGCCACACCACAACCACACAACCACACACACACATACACACATACATACATACATACATACATACATACATAAACACACACCCCAACCATAAGTCGTCCAGTCAGCCCTTCCTCCCCACACACACACACCCTCCCGCCGCATGCCTGCAAAACCTACCGAATGACGCCAAACGAGTTGCGCAGCGCCGCCGAAGACTGGCCACGCAGCACGGGCGCGTCGTTCCATGCAGCCTACAACACACAAGGGAACAGCCACACAAATGCATAACGTTGGTGAGTGTGGACAGAGTACAGCATATGCGCCCCTCGCTCCCTTCCATGCCAGGTCACGACCTGCCCTCCCGCCAGCCGCGCATCCGAATTTTACGGGCCTTTCTCGGCCGCCACTCCCCACCCCACCGGCAACAGCTCCGCCCCACGTACACTAATAGCACCAAACATGCCGCCACCCACAAGACCAGCCGCTGCTGCCGTCCCGGTCCGCCCCACGCACGAGTCCGAAGCCATGGCTCTCCTTGTACGAGTCGAGTTGCTCTCACCGCCGCACAGCCGCTGCCCGCCTCCCCTTCCCCCTCTCCCCCCCCCTTCCCCCCCCATTCCCAACCACCGCCCGCCGAACCACCTACCCGTTTCCGAACACAAACACGATCACGATCATGATCAAGCACCGGCCAAGGTCACCGTCCTCCACCACCACACCCACCATGACTCGCACCACCCCACCCACCACACCCACACCCACACTTTCCCTCTCGCCCTCCTCCTTTATTCTTCCCCCCCTCCCCTCCTTCCCTGCCCTTCCTCCTCCTTTCCCACACTCCGTGCCACACACACACCGCCCGTGCTACCCCGTGGCAAGTGAAGCCCTTCCGTCGCACGCGTTCCTGGCCACACCCCGCCACACCCTTACCCCCCCCCCCCCCTACTCCCAACCCACCCCCAACCCACCCCTTTCCCAACTCGACACCCACCATGCGGTACGCAAGCTGTTGTCCTCCCCTCCCTCCCTCCCTCCCCCCCCTCCCTTCTCCCTCCTCCCTCCTCACTCTCACACCTCCCTTGCCTTGAAACGCTACAGTGCTGGCCGCAGACGTGGGCAATCTGTCTCAGGCCCTCCGCCGTTTGTCGACCTCGGCCCGCCGCCTACGGCAGACGCAGCAAACTCGCAGGAGAAACTGCAGGAGAGCACAGAGCAGGCACCACCTGCGCGTCCGAAGAGACCATCTCGCCCGGCTTCCCGGCCCAAGCCGACGGCACTTGCGCCTTCAGGCAATCCAGCAGCGGCGGCGCTGGCGGCAGGCCCACCGCCGCCGAGTGCCACGACAGAAGAGGCGCCGGTCCGTCGCGGGCGCCGGCGATCGGTGTCGCGCCGGTCGGGTGGGCCGCCGGTTGATCTGACCATGTCGGAAGAGGAGATTGCGGCTTTCAAAGCGCAAGAGGCGGCCGGCGGCAGCGCCTTTGGTGCCAACGGCGGCGGCAGCGGCGGGGCGGCGGCCGCAACAGACGTTGTCCTCGTCAATGGGCACGTAATTCAGACCGACGTGGCCATGCTGACGCGGCCGCGGTCGGACACCGGGTTCCAGGCGCGGTGGCGCAAGCGGGTCGACTTGCGCGAGATGTGCACCCGCAAGCTCGCCGAGCTGGAGCGTGAGAAGGAGAGCAAGTATGACGAAGACCAGATGGACGAGTCGGACTTTGAGGACATTGCCAACGTCATCCTCGAGTTTGACAAGAGCACGCTCAAGCACATGAAGCAGTGCACCGATGAAGAGTGTCCGGACGGGTGCATGCCGCTCCTGCAGCCGGTCATTCGCAAAGCGCTCAAGCTGTATGCCAAGTTTAACCAGCTCGAGTCCCGCGAGACCGTCTGCAACGAGCTCGTCCGCAAAACCACGGCGTCACAGCGGGTGGCGCCCAAGAAGAAGCGCATGTCGATGAACGTGCAGAACTTTGCGCTCAAGGCTCTTGTCGACTCTTTCCTTGTCGAGATGTTCTCGGACATTGCGCCTGAGGACGACGCCGAAGCGCCGCATTGAACGCTGGCTTGCGAGCCTCCCACACCTACGGAGCACCGAGCTCTTCGACCGCATTCATGCGCGAGCGGAGATAGCCGCCAAAGACGCCCAGCGCGTGGTTGACGTCCGACACCACCCACTTGGGCTCGTCGGCCGGAAGCTCGAGCGAAAGCACAATCTCGTGGCGGAGCCGGGTCCCGAGCCCGCCCGAGCCGCCCATTCCCTTGGCAGTCATGACCTTAAACGGCCCAAAGCTCTTTGCCTCGCGCATCATCGCCTCAAAGTCCGGGCCCTCGGCCGCAAACGAGCCGATGCCCGGCCCGCCGAGTGCGAGCATGACCGGCATGTCGATGCGGACAAGGACGTCGAACCTCGCGTACTCCGCCATGCACTCCTCCACAACGCTCGCAAGCGTCGTCGGCGCGTACCCATGCTCAGACGCAAACTCACCGATGGTCTGCGTCGGCATTCGAAGGCCCCACACGTTAGTGTGGCTCCCATCGTCATCGGCGGCCCCAAACGCCGCGCCCACCGCACGGACCTTGACCTTTGGCCGGATCATTTCCACCAGCGGCGCAGAGAGAAGGACCGGCGGGACGGTCTCGTTCCGCGCACCGGGCGCGACAACCTCGGACAGAAACTCGACGTCAAACATGTGCGGCTTGGCCGACCAGCTCTTGAGCGCAGGGTCGGCGAGGAGCGCCCGGAACGCCGCCAGCGCTCCAGCCTCGAGCGCGCCGGGTGTCCAGAACGGCGGCGGCAGGAGCCGCTTCATCGAGCTTGAGCAGAGCAGTGACATGACTCGCGCCATGATCGGCACACGCGTTAGCGCATTGCCCGGAATAGCCAGCGGATGGACTCGTGCGCTGCCCTCGGCCCCTCCATCGCTGTCGCCGCCAAAGTGGCCAAACCCGGACGCCCGCGGGCCGGTCGCCGTGCTCAGCGCCCGCGCCGCCAGCCCTCCGCCCGCCACTCCAGCCGCCGGCACCATACGCGGCACTGCACGCGGCACAGCTCCCCAGTACACCGCCCCTCGCATCATCGTCCGTCCCAGACTCGCCGCCATCGTCCCCCTCGAGAGTCACGTGTGCTACTCTGCTCGCGCCTCAGCTGTGTCGCGTCCGCCCGTTTGTCTCCTCGTTGTGACGACAGAGACGGGCCCATAACAATGGGAATAAAGCGCTTTTCACCGATCAGAATCGTTGACGCAATTGTCCACAATCTTCCTTTGCTTATGATGTGTGTGATGGTGAGTGTGCACACAGCATACCGATTGTCGTCCCCAGCGTCGGCACGGTTGTGATGCCAACAACCAATCCTGATCATCGTGATCCATGGGACGTTCACTTTGCGCTTGCTATGGGAAACCGCATCCGCCACCATCGGCGTCATTGTCTATCCTGCAGAGGAGGTAGACGTTGGTAGGGGAAGAGGAGAGGGTAGGCGAGCCAGCAAACCGCATCTTGCAATCAAGACATCATCGCATCTTTCTATGGATAAGTTCCGGCCGGGATCGAGCCGGTTCCCCGTCGCTGCTGCCAATCGGCCAGTGACCGCCAGCGACCAGCCGTGGCGCCGCCCTCCCCCGTCCCCACCCACTCGACTCTCACCGCCATGGCTGACTACCGACGCGGGCGCAGACGGCAGCTGGATGCCAGTGCCTCCAGCGTAGTCATGCGGAACGTCATGGAGCGCCAGCTGATGCGTGATGCAGCTCGGCGGATCAAGAAGACGTCCAAGGGTGCGGCGTTCTCGGGCTTCTCCTTGCAGGGCGCCTTGGACACGTACGACCCGGAGACGTCCAAGATCAAGCTCTCCTTCCTCCGCAAACGCTCTCGGGTGGCAGAGATTATTGCTGCGGGCGAGCTCATTTTCGCCCTTACCCGCCATGGTGTCTGCGCCGCTTTCAACAGAGGTACGTGCCGTCTTCCTGGGCCCCCCCCCTCCCTGGCCGGTCGGTTCGTCGTGTCGCGCCCGCGCCCGCGCCCACCTCCCCCCACCCCCCAGCCGCCCTACGGCGGGCGCTGTGGGGTTGAAGAGGAAGACGAGAGGAGGGAAACTGGGGAAGGGGGTATGCCTATGGGCTGTTTGACCCGTATGATGGTGGGGAGTCGCTAGGGTGGGCAGGGGAGGAGGGTAGGCTGGTTTGTAGGAACAAGGGCAGGGAGGGGAGGCGCCGAGTAGAAAGTGCGCGAAATGTCTCATTGGAGTTTCGCGCCAAATTGTGGGGCAGACACGATGACGCGGGTGTGCTACCTCAACATCACGCCTGCCGAGGTTGTGCGGTCGCTGTTTTACAACAAGGTCAACAAGTCGATCATTACTGTGTCTGTGTATCGGACGGACAACTTTTCGTCGCTGCGGTGCCGGACGACGCCGTTGGAGCACATTGCGCGCGGGCAGCCCGACGCCGGCTTTGCGCTCTTTGAGTCCGAGTCGCTGCGGTGGCCCGGGTTTGTGGAGTTTGACGACGTCAACGCCAAGGTGCTGACGTACTCTGCGGCGTCCAAAACGTACAAGGTGTGGGACCTGTCGAATTACACGCTGCTGTACGAGGTGCAGGATACGCGGATTCAGGAGATCAAGATCTCGCCGGGCATCATGCTGCTCATCTACCCGCGGACCACCTCGCACGTCCCGCTCAAGATCCTCAACATCGAGACTGGCGAGGTGCTGAAGGAGTTCAAGCATCTACTCCACCGGAACAAGCGGGTCGACTTTATCGAGCAGTTCAACGAGAAGCTGCTCATCAAGCAGGAGAACGAGAACTTGCAGATCGTCGACGTGGAGTCGTCCAAGATCCTGGAGGTCTCCCAGACCGAGTTTGTCACGCCCAAGGCCTTTATCTTCCTCTACGACTGCCACCTCTTCCTCACTTTTCTCCAGTCGTCCATTGCAGTGTGGAACTTCCGCGGCGAGCTGGTGACCAAGTTTGACGACCACCGGCTGCAGTTCCTCGACACGCACACCAACAACATCTACATCAACTCGCGGCAGGACACCATCATCTCGTACTGCAAGCAGCACGGAAACGCCAAGGGCTCCATCAACGTCTCGGACATCTTCACCGGCGCCTCGATCGGCAAGATTGCGCCCGAGGATGGCCTCTCGCCCGCTGCAGAGTCTGACGACCGCGCCGGGCCCGCCGCCCAGGCGGCCGCCCTCGACGATGTCACTGCCCTCTTCTATAACGAGGAGCGCAACGAGATTGTGACCGGCGACAACAGTGGCCGTATCCACATCTGGAGCAATTGAGCTAGCGGCCGTGCAGGGCGGAGGCGCGGTCCGCTGCGGCCCGCGCCCGTCCCGGCACGCTCGGCATTAAACTGTTTGCGCCTCGCTCAGAAGAGGAAGATGAAGCGGTGGAGCGGGCTCTTGAGCCTCAGAGCGGTGGCCCGTCGCGGTGGATGAGCGCCCGGTACTCGCCAGCAACGTCGGCGTCGGCAAAAGTGGCGGCGTCATGGAAGAACGGGTGGTTGATAAGATCGACGAGCCGCGGGCGGCGGGCGGTGTGAAGGCAGCACCGGAGGATGCCGCGGAGGAACGGCTCGAGCGGGATTGAGGGCATGGCATGCGGGTCGGCGGCGTTGATGGGGTCGGTAGCGGTGAGCATGTAGAAGACCATGCGGCCAAAGGCCTTGACCAGCTCGTCCTCGAGCGACGTGTGGTAGCTCTTGCCTTGGGGCCGGTCCGAGAGCCACTCGAGGTCAAACAGCAGGATGCGGAGGCCATCGTCAGCGATGTGGACGTTGTGGACGGTGGGGACGGCAGCGAGGCGGAGGGTGCACATGTAGAGAATGTCCATCAGTGCAGTGAGCAGCGAGCGGCACCAGACCCGCATCACGTACTGCGTTCCTGAGAGCGTGCCGTACTTGGCTACGAGCTCGGTCAGCCGCATGGCCACCGGGACGTGCTCGAAAAAGTGCAGGACAGCGCCCTGTGGGCCAAACGGCTCCTCGCCGGGCGCTGGCTCGGCGATGCCGTCTTCGTCGGCGCCGCGATAGTCGATAAAGTGTGGCGAGAAAGCGAGCTGACGCAGGGCCTCGACGCGGTTGCAGAGCTTGCGAATCAGGCTCGACGACCTGCACGGGAGCCGGATGGTGAGGACGTGGACCTCAAAGTCCTTGTTGAGGTCGTAGCCGAGAGTCTCGCGGCCGAGCGCCGAGCGCCCGAGCTCGACCACCTTTTCGTAGTTGGGATAGTACACTCGCTTGACTGCAATGGAGTGCAGGTACTTGTCGATCTCGCGCCGGTGCGCCAGCTGATAGTCGTAGGCGGTGGCGCCATGGCGGCGGGCGCGGGCGGCGCCTGATGCGCCGGCCTCACCGGCCTCGTCGCCATCACCAGCAAGCCACCACGAACTCCCACCGGCATCGACAAGACCAAGCCTGTGGGCCCCACCGTGGCGGTCGTACTCGTCGTCGTCGAGCTTGTCCCAGAACAGGGTGGCCAGATCCTCCTCTCCGTGCTCGCCGACAAGGCGATCCTTCCACTCTTGCATCGAGGCGACGACCGAGGCGTTCTCTGCGCAGAGCTGTTCGAGGAGTCTCAGAAGTTGTCTGGTCTCGTTCTTGGAGAACGCCTCTGTCTCCCAAAACTCAAACAGCTCGGTAATGTCGGCCACGTTGGCAAAGAGATGCCGGAGGGTGGCGTCGACCTCGACGGAGCGAGCCGAGGAGAACCTCAGGAGCAGCCGAGCCACAAAGCCCTGGTACGACAACGGGAGCTCACAGAGTTCGCTCAGCACGGCCTCATCCTCATCCAACACATGGCCATGTTCCACAAGCGCAGCCGCAAACGCTCGCCTAGTTCCCGCCCTCCCCGTCCCCGGTCACGTCACCTCGATGAGTCGCTCTCTGTCCGGCGCCAACGGACGCGGTCACGGCCGACGGCCGACGGCCATAGCCATAGCCATGGCCATAGCCATAGCCATAGCCGTATCCATATCCATGACCTGCACATCACTATTCATCATCACCTTCATCGCAAGGAAGCGTACCATTCCCCGATGGACGAAATCCGCTCACCGTCTGCTGCAGAGACTGCAAAGCAGCCACGGATCGAGGTGGCGTCCATGTCACTCGCGAGTGAGGTGAGAGCTGCGTAGTCAAGTCGGGGCAGGGGGCAGGGAGGGGGGGGGGGGGGCACCAAATAGAATGACACTAGCCCAGCCCATGCACCCCGCGGAAGTCTCGGCCGACGCCAGGCCAACCCCATGCCGACCCCCAGGGTCCCGCAGCCTATTAACCAGGCAGCCGACCCTCCCCATGGCTCTCTGCCGCAACTAACATCGCCTAGCCCCCCCCCCCCCCCCCCCCTTGTGGTCCGGCATAATGCCTCGGCGATCGATCACACCACCTGATCAAGCTACCTGATCAAGCTACCTGATCAAGCGACCTGATCAGGCGAAGTGATAAAACTCGCGCGCGCGCGAAGCACCTCACCCTCACGGCCCCACCTTGCGGCGAGCACCCCTCCACTCTCCCCACCTGTACAACAACAGCCATGTCGCAGCCTGTGGACGCCCGGGGCAAGGCCGGGAAGATTCTCAATGACCCCATTCATGGACATATGCACTTTTCAGCCAAGCTCATGGCCGTGGTCGACACGCCGCAGTTTCAGCGACTGCGCGAGTTGAAGCAGCTCGGCTCGACGTACTTTGTCTTTCCTGGCGCCAGTCACAACCGCTTCGAGCACTCTCTTGGTGTCTCACACTTGGCTGGCAAGCTAGTGCGGACGCTGGCGAGCAAGCAGCCGGAGCTGGGCATTGATGATCGGGATATCTTTCTCGTCGAGCTCTCCGGCCTCTGCCATGATCTCGGTCACGGTCCCTTCTCCCACGCCTTTGAGAAGATCATCAACAACCTCGAGCCGGACCTCGGCTTCCACCACGAAAACATGTCGCAGGCCATCTTTCGTGACATCATGGACGAGCACGATCTGTATGACGAGCTCGACATGACCGACGAGGACGTGGCCTCGGTCCTGCAGCTCATCTCGGGCGTCAAGGACGAGGCTGCCAAGCGCGAGAAGCCGTTCCTCTACGACATTGTGGCCAACGCTCGCAACGGCATCGATGTCGACAAGCTTGACTACCTCGCACGCGACGCATACAACGTCGGCGTCAAGTCGACGTACGACTTTGAGCGGCTGTTCTCGTTCTGCAAGGTCATCGACGGCGAGATCTGCTTCTACGTCAAGGAGGCGTTCAACCTCTACCAGATGTTCCACACCCGCTACTCGCTGCACAAGCAGGTCTACACACACAAGACCTCGTGCGCTATCGAGTTTATGATCCAGGACATCCTCAAGGGCGCGTACTCGTACCTCAAGCTCGCCGACGCCATCGCCGACGGCGGCGTCAAGGCCTACCTCCGCCTCACCGACTCGATCCTGCGGACGGTGGAGAACGCGACCGAGGCCGAGCGGGCGGCAGACAAGGGCCTCGCTACCGCGCACGCCATCCTCACCCGCCTCCACTGCCGCCAGCTCTACGCCTTTGTCGACCAGATCGTCCTCCCGCCCCACGCCACCTCAACCATCCCTACCGTCGATGACATCATGGCCCACCACTCGACCTCGTTCATCAATCTCGATCCGGCAGACGTCATTGTCGACGTCTTCAAGCTCAACTACTCCAAGAAGGATGAGAACCCGGTCGACTTTGTCCACTTTTACACCCACTTTGAGTCCGAGGACAAGATCACCATCGCCGCCGACAAGGTCTCGCAGCTCATCCCGTCGTCGTTCCAGGAAGTCGGCATCCGCATCTTCCTCCGCACTCGCGCCTCAGATTCCATGTACGCCGCTCGCACTGCCTTCCGCTCCTGGTGCCGTGCCATGAAGACGACCTCGCCGTTCCCCTCTGGCCCAGTCCTCACCCGCCAGCCCTCTGCCGCAGCCTCGTCCTCTACCGCCACCGCTGTCGCCGCCGCCCGCGCCTCGCAAGCCTCGTCCATCACCTCAACCCTCTCATCGTCCATCCTCTCTCTCGATGATGACGACGATGACGACGACGACACCTTCCCCACCTCGCCGTCCACCCGGCGCGATCCACCGTCTGCCTTTGGCAAGTTTGCCCCGGGGCCTCTCAAGCGGCAAAAAACGTTGTGATGCAAGAGGAGAGAGCGAAGAGGAACGAGGGAGGAGGGTGGAAGAAGAATCAGAGGAAGAAGAGAAAGAGGCTGAGACAGAACATAAGAAGAGGAGAAAATAATCAATATCTCCATCGATTAACATGTGATGTGCTGCCTTCCCCCCCCCCCCCCCCCCCTCCCCTCCCCAGCAGCTGCCTCGACTGGCATATGCCGCTACCAAGTCACCCCACGACGAACGCCTTCGGCAACCACTCCCCCACGCCACCACCACCACCACCACCACCACCACCACCACCACCACCACCACCACCACCACCACCACCACGTCACCCCCCTCCTCCCCCCACACCAAACCCCACCCCTACCCCACCCCTACCCCCACCCCCTCCACCCCTTCACATGGCCAAGGGTGTCCGCGGGTGGCTGCGTCGGTCAGGCAAGGGTCGTGTGACTCTGGCCTTTGTGGCCTGTACCTTCCGCCTCACCCGACATGACGGACCATCGGTGAGCCAAGGGACAGGCGCTGTCTCACTCTGGCCCATCTCATGGAGGACGTTGGAGAACGGGAATCGGGCGGTGACCATCGGCTCGGCAAGAAAGGTCAACTGGCCATCATGTGTCGAGTTTGAGGACAAGGACATGGCCAACGTGGCTGGTATCGAGTTTGAAGTCGAGCCGCATGGCGCCTTTGTGGCCCTCCTCAACGTCAATGATGTTGTTCGTTCTCGTCATGGTGATGCTTTGGGAGTGATGGAGTCGTTTGAAGGTCATGGCCTCGAGGGCTCCGTCTACCGCACCGCTGCAAGACCCATCGAGATGGCCGCTCACGCTGCTGCTGACCGCATCTGCAAGTACTTTCTCGAGCTCTCGTGGGCGTCCAAGGACTCGGACCTGGTCTCAGTCTCCGAGCTCCCGCTCGACCCGCTGCTCTCGATTGCCCACGCTTCGCAGAATGAGGCCCGCGCCCGCCAGATTCCGCCGGCGCCGCCGGCCGACGCAGCTCTCGCCCGCTGCCATGTTTTTGCCTACGAAGCGCCGGCGCTACCGGGCAACGTGGCGGCAAACGCATCGTCACTAGTCCGTGACGAGCTCAACGAGCTACACGCCACCATTGTGTCCCTCGGCGTCAACACCGCCGGCTTGCCGGCTGACGCGCGCCCGGCCACTTCGTCGCTCGACATTGTCTCCATCCAGCGCCAGGATGAGGCATCGGCCTTTCAGTTCTCGACCATGCCACACAGCCATCCGTTTCTGGTCACGTCGGACAAGGTGGTGACGGTGACGTACACGCTCGACGCGTCGCTGATGCAGGCGCCGAGCGCGGCGCAGGCGTCCAACGCGCGGCTCTCGAACCGGACTCTCAACAAGGCTAGGCTTGCGCGTCGGTTCTCCTCGCCATCGCTGACCTTGCTGGAAGAGTCTGCCCGGCGCGACGGGCCCGAGTCGTCGCTGGCGTCGCAGGCGCGTCCATGCGCCCGGGCGCGGATGTCGGCAGCTCCAGACTCGCCGCTGGGTGGCATCTCGCCGTCCAAGACCACGCCGCTCGTCCACCGCCTCGGCGCAGCGAGCAACGTCTCGCCGAACCACGCGGCGTCTGGCCTCGATCCGGTGCCGCACCTGCGACTCCCGCCGGCAAGGTCGGCGTCGTCCGACCGGCGGCGGCGGATGGCGGCAACCGATGACTCGGCCTCGATCTCAGGCGGCGAGTCTGGCTCGGCGTCGTTTGGCGACTCGGGCTCGGCCTCTTCGTCGTCGCAATGTCCAGACGAGGCCGGCGTCTTCACTTCGGTCTTTGCCGAATTCGTGCAGGCACACGTCCTTCCACCGGATCTTCCGGCGTCGCTCACTCCGCGCGACCTCGCGCCCATCGGCGAGTACCGCGCCAACTTTACCTCTCGCATGCAAACGCTGTTCCAGTACTACACCGGCGAGTCTGCGACGCTCACCAGCGACTCGGCGCGGCACCTCGCCAACTTGTTTGACGCCGAGGCCGAGCGAACGCCGCAGCGACGGCTCGACTTTGGCTCGATGATGTTTGGTCTCGGCTCGGTCGATGACGGCTCGGACGCCGACTCGTCGCTGGGCACGGTAACGGCCTCGCCGCCGTCGGGTGACCACCTTGCCTCGCCGCGGCGGATGCCGCTGGCACAGCCGGGTGGCATCGAGGGCACATCGCCTAACTCGATAGCCGGCTCACCGTCGTCGGCATCATCGCCACCGCTCTTCCGGCGGGCAGAATCGCTCGCCTTTGACGCCCTCCTCTCCCCACGGGTTACGCCGTCGGCGCCGCTGCCGAGCATGTCGCAGCCGCGGAGCAAGCGGCGGAGAGCGCGGCGCGGATCCGACAATGCTAGCTCACGGCAGCAGACGTCGCGGACGTCGCGGACGTCGCGGACGTCGCGCTCGCTCTGGTCGTCGTCGCGACGGTCATCGGCGAGCAAGGCCACACTTGGGCTCGCCGGCCTCACCGCGCTCTTTACGCGGCTCTCGACGTCGAACCCGCACGGCTTTGCCCGGATGGTGCTCGAGGAGGCGGACCCAACGCAGTCGGGCGTCGTGACTTGGCCGCTAATGCTCGAGTGGATTTCGCGGCTCCCGCTGGCATCGATTGCTTCCGAGCGCGCCCGCGAGCTCCACACGGTTGTCGCTGAAGACAAGCACACCAAGCGCGGAACGCTCTTCAAAAAAGTCGGCTTCCTTAAGCGATGGAAGGCGCGATACTACAAGCTCAACCTCGTTGACGCGGTGCTCTCGCAGTACCTTACACCCGAGTTTGAACACGCATCGGCCGAGACCAATGTCAAGACCTACTCGCTGGTCGGCTACTCGATGGCGGTCCTCACGCCCATGTCCGGTATGGAGGCAGCGTTCACGCTCGTCCCGCGCGAGGCCGGTGTCAAGCCGTTTGTTTTTGGCACGCAGTCGGAGGAGGAGGCACGCGCGTGGATGGCGACGCTCAACACGCTCTTCTCCACCCACTCGCTCTTCAACGCGCACACTTTTCACTCGGCAGTGGAGGCTGTCTCGCTGCGGCTCGCTGCTCTGCCCGCTGAGGGCAGTAGCGGCGGCGGCGCCGAAGACACCCGTGCCGCTTCGCCGTCGGCGCTGTCGTCCGGCAAGCCGTCGCCGACCGTGCCACACTTTCCTGCGCTCGATCCGGACGTACCGGTCCACGTCTCGCACGACGACGGGCTCCTCCTCCTCGCGCCCGGCTCGGACGAATCGTCGCTCTCGGCCTCGCTCTCGTCGTCGGCGAGGTCGTCGAAGCGCAACTCGATGTCATTCGCTGCCTCCTTTGGCTCGACCCAGCACTCGCCGCACCGAGACAACGCGATCGAGCGGTCGACGATTGCCGATGTGCTGGTGACGGCGCAGGCGTCAGTCGTCGCCTCGCCACCGGCGGCGGCCGACCCGCGCCGAATCCGATCTGCGGCGTCGTCACCGACTATGGGCAGCCCGGGAGGGATGGCACCCATTGCCGATGCGACCGAGCGCAGCCTGCTTCCGATTGCCGCCCAGCCAGGCCCATCACAGCTTACGGCCGACGGCAGCGATGGCAGCGGGCTGGGTGCGAGCTCGTCGTCGTCGATCACGTTTATGGGAGGGCGGACGAACGAGGTGCACTCTGTAGAGGAGAACGACCTCGACGCGTTGCTCGAGCTCATGTTCTGCCTGTAGTAGCCGGCGGCGGTCACGAGCGCCAGTACATAGCGACGCGGTGAAAGGTTTCAGCAATCTGTGGAGCGAGAGCCGAGACCGAGTCGGCGATGAGGTTCTGGAAGTACTGGATGGCTTCCTCGTCGGTGAGGTCGAGGCGGAAGTTCTGCTCGACGCGGCGGAGGGCGCGCTCCGGCTGTGACGACAAGTCTGGGATGTTGGCGTCGATCATGAGGCGGAGGAGGTTGAGGATGAGGTGGGCAGACTTGCGGAAGATGTTGAACGACTCGCAGCAGTACGAGATGAACCGCGAGTAGTGCTCCGAGTCCGAGCCGCCGAGTGCCTCGACCATCTCCTTGCACAGCTTCATGGGCGGCGGCAGCGGCTTGGGTCCTTGCCGAGGATGTAGCCAAAGTCGATGTGGAAGAGCTGGCCCGAGTCGGTGAGAAGAAGGTTGTCGAGATGGCGGTCGCCGACGGCGAGGATGTATGTGATGACCGAGTATCCTGCGCACGACCGGGCAAAGGTGTCGAGGACGGCCTCGGAGATCTGGTACGGCCCGTTAGGGTCGGGCGCGACCTTGCGGAAGAAGCCGAGGATGCCGGCCTTGTGCTCTTTGATCACGCGCGAGACGTTGTGCGAGCCATCGACAAACTCGATGAGCCCGTCGTTGGATGACGCCGCGAGGACAGAGTACGGCATGAGCTTGAGGTCGAGCGCCTCTTTGAGGAGCAGCGAGTCCATGAGCCGGATGAGCTGAATGACGAGCTGGTCCTGGCGCGGGTCGTCGCCGGCCTTGAACAGAACCTTGTACCTACCGCCAGCGGCGGTGATAAAGGTGAGGAGGAGCGGGGTGAGCGCCGACTTGAGCATGGTGCACTCGGCGCCGTCGAGGCCGACGACAACTATGTCCGGATTGAGCGGGAGCTCGACCGGCTTGAAGCTTGCCAGCTCCGAGAACTCGCCGCGCGAGGAGAGACCCTGCTGCAGCCGGGTGATGTTCTTCTTGCGATCGCGCTGCTTGCGGAGCTCCGAGTAGAGTGCGTTGAGGTGGGCGAGCAAGTTGCGCTGGCGGACAATCATGTCGTAGCGCGGAGCGAGCGGTGTGGCGGATGCCGAGCCGCTCAGCGAAGCCGAGCCGCCGGTCGACGAGCCTGGCGACGACGTAGCGTGGGCGTCGCCGGCTGGCATGGAGCTCGACTCGCCGGTGACAAACGCGAGTGCCGAAGAGAAGAGGCCCATGGTCGAGTCTGCCACCGACGTTGCCAGCGCCGATGCGCCCGAGACCTTGCTTGTTGGCAGGGGGAGGGTGGTGCCGGCAGAGAGCGGGTCGGCACTGCCACCGCCGGTTGCCGGCAGCGTTAGCTGCGAGTGGGCGTCGTTGACCGAGGCCTCGAACGAGACGATAAAGTTGTGGAACATCTTGCCGTACGCCTTGTCCTCGCACTCGACCTGCAGGTACCAGACAAGGAAGTTGCCGACGCGGGCGTTGGCGAGGGCGCGGGTGAGGAGAAAACGGCCGAGTGGCGAGTCCGGGCCAGGAGCAGGCGAGTAGCGGAGGCACTGGACGAGCTGCAGCAGGTACATGAGAATTTTCTCGTCCGAGGCCGACTGGAGCACGTCGAGGGCGAGAAGGCGGACCGAGGGATTGCGGAACAGCAGCAGCTCAAGCGCCTGCTCAACCGAGATGGGCGCCCAAGAGGGGAGGAGCGAGGCGACGAGGTCGACCTCGCCGGGATCGGACCACTCGATGGTGCGGAGGAACGGACCGAGGGCGCGCGGATTGGAGACGAGCGCGTAGCGGAACTTCCACAACAGCTCCGAGTGCTCATCGGAGATGGGTGCGGTAGGCGGAGCGGTGATGATGGCATGCAGTGCGCGGCGCTCGGCCGAGTTGGGCTTGAGGTTGTGGTCGAGGAAGCCCTTGCGATGCGAGCGAGCCAGTCGGCGATGCTTGGCTTCAACCGGGTTGGAGTCAACGCCGACAAACGGATCGCAGACGGTGACGAGGGCGTTGGTGGCAAAGTTCGGAAATGGTGGCGGGCCGCCGGCGAGCTCGACAACCTCCTCGAGCGGAGTGGCGAGGACCGGGTAGTCAAAGGTGACGAGCTCGATGACGAGGGTGTCACCAGCTGCGGACGCACCGGCCACATGCTGCGCGCGGGCCTTGAGCGCGTGGACATGCTCAAAGGCAAGAGCATCCAGCCACTCGACCCGTGGCACGTCGCCCTGGTCGTACGCCCGCATGCCAGCCGCCACATTGGCGTACGTGGCCTCGAGCGATCCAGGCTCTGGTGGCGGCGGCTGGGCCATCCGCGGCACGTCTCGCCCAGAACCAAAGCCTGCGTCCAACCCGTGCAGCGGCGAGGCAATCTGCGCCGGGCTCAGCGCCAGCGAGTGCTTGCCCTTGGCCAGGACGCCGTTTGAGCGGAAGAGCGGAAAGACGGCCGATCCGAGTGGTGATGCCGCTTCTGGCGCAGCTACATTCCACAACGTGGCCACAAGCACGGCCGACCGTGGTAAATCGGCGTAGCGGACCGGAAACTCGAGCCACTGATCCCATCCCGAGTCTGGGGGGGCGATGACAGCCGTTCTGGTCTTCAGGGGGAGGCCGAGCGGGCGGCCATCAGCCCAAAGCTGAGCCTCGACAAAGGCATAGGCATAGGGATGATTGAGAGCATCATGACGAGCCGGACACGATGTATGTCCGAGTGCAGCAGGCGTTTTGTGTTTGCGGGCACAGCCGTGGCAGCCGTAGCAGCAGGGTTGGTGTTGGGGGGCGCAGCCGTGGCAGCAGGCTGGCCGGTCACCGCCGGCACAAGGCCCACCATGCGGACACGGACGTTAAGGGCGGCGACCTCGGCAGAGTAGATGTAGTGGAAGGTTTTGTTGGTGGTGGTGGACGGCGTGGGCATACCCAGCATCCGTTTGCGTGCCCCATACATGGGGTGTGTGCGTGTGTGGGTGTGTGGGTGGAGTGGTATGAGAGTGAGGTGTCGGCCTGTGGGTGGTTCGGCTGTTGCCGGTGTGGCACAGAGTCCGTGTTCCGTGTTGGGAGAAGGGGGGGGGGGGGGTGGGGTGGGGTAGGTGGATCGGAGGGCTGGGGGTGATGCGGTGGTGGGTTCACATGAGCGAGACCTCGCCGTTGAGCGAGGCCAGCTGCGACTTGAGCGACAACGAGTCGGAGATGGTGATGTAGACGAGGGCGGCGGTGCCGAGGATGGCGATGGCCGCGTCGAGGAGGCGGATCGCGGGGGTGAGCTTGTTGTAGAAGAGTGCGAGGTGAAAGGCAGCTGGAAAGACAATCGAGGTGAGAATGGAGCAGATGCCGCCGAGGAGCGACTCGAGGTAGTCGAGGACGTAGTAGGCGTTGAGGGCGAGGACGACGAGGCCGGCAAAGACCAGAATGCGGACGGCGGTGGCAAGGACCACAAAGTGCCACGACGACGTGGTGATTGCTGGAGCCGCCAGCGAGCCGATGGCGTCGAGCGCAAGCATGTGCCGCGGCGGCGCGCCGCCGCCGCCGCCTTGGATGTGGACGGGGCTCGTCGGAGCGACAACCCGCGGGAGGTGTGCGCGGCGGCGCGCGGCGGCACGCCTTTTGAGGAAGCGCAGCAAGTAGTCCTCGGGCACCTCGGCGAGAACGGTGAGGATGGTCGGGACGGTGGTGAGCGAGTTGAGCGCCACAAAGCCGACGCAGAACTTGCCGATGATTTGCGCCACCGTCGACGCTGTGTCGACGGTGATGAGGTTGGTGGTGATGAGCACGTCCGCACCGTCGCCAAACCGCAGGTAGCCAAGCACGCCCATAGCGGCGTAGATGAGAAACATGACCACAAAGGTGGCGTCGAGCATGCGTTCGTACGCCTTGGGATTAAGCATGTTCTTGCGGATCGACGGGAGCGCGGCGTGGCCAGACTGCGAGACTAGGAGCATGCCCGTGATGAGCGGAAACGAACCAAACTCGACAACCTTGGTCTCGCCCGTCGCCAGCTCGTCGGTCGCCAGCCCCTGCACAAACCACCCAGTCACCACCGCCGTCACCAGAGCCGAGCATAGCATGCCAATGAGGTTGATGAACGAGAGCTTGGCAAACGACCGAATGCACACAATTGGCGCAAGGAGGCCGACCGAGCCCGCAACCACGTACCAGATCGAGACGTGCGGGAGGAGGGCATGAACCGACTGCCAAATGATGATGAGGCACATGCACGCGGCGCCCGAGAACTCGAGCGAGATGATGACCTCGACAAGCACCTTGCCAAAGCGCCCCATGACCGCCGCGCCGAGGTTCGGATACGAGGCATCGCCAGCGGCATCGCCACGCCAGTCGGCGTGCATGAAGCAACGGACAATGATCTTGCCGGTGTAGTTGCACACGATACAGATGAGCGCCATGAGCGCGACAGAGACAACACCGCCGCGCCGGAGCACGTATGCGTTCGAGAGCAGGCCGAGACCCACGTACACGTTGAGAACATTGAACGCCGTCTGGAGCGTGGACGTCTTGCTACTCTTGTCCACCGCCACGTCGATGCCGAGCTTTGTCAGGTAGTTGGCGCGCACATCGCGCGAGTTGAACCGCTTGGGCGGCGAGCTCCGCTTCGGTCCGCGCGACGAGAGCAGTTGCGGCCCGCGCGCACTCCCCACTTGCTTCTTGTGCTGCGGCGAGGCCCGCGCCAAGTGCGGCGCCTGCTGTGGCGACGGCGCCGGCGTTGCCGGTGGGGTAAATGCGAGTGGCGAGATCGGCGAGAGCGGCGCCGGCGAGGCCCGCGCAGAGCGCGGCGGTGAGAGAAAACCCGACGCCGACGCCGACGCCGACCCAACAGCGGGAAACGGCGAGGCGAGTGGCGGTCGGGCTGGAATGGGCCGACGGGCTGAAGCGGACAGGCCTGGACCGTAACCGGGCGTGCCCGAGGCGGTCCCGGTCCCGGTGCCAGTGTCTGTGGCCGAGCCCGAGAGTGATCCGCGCCCATCGCCGACCGCATCGTTCGGAGGCGACATAAAGATGGCTCTCCGTGCCTGTGCAGCATACTTGCGCGCCGGCGAGGTGTTCGGCGGCGGATGCCGGGCCTTGCGCTGCTTGCGGCTGGCGCCGTCAGCCGACTCGCTGACTGGGTTGTGGTAGAACGACGAGGCGACGACAACAGTCGGCTGCTTGGCTCTCCCGCGAGCACGCCTGCTCCCCAAACCCGAGCCATATTCCGAGCTCCGATCCCAGCCGTTCCGATTCCCCTTGGCGCCTCGGCCGTGCCGCTCCTGTCCAGCTCGGTCACGTGAGGGGGCCTTTCTTGGCGACGGCCGGAAGAGGCCACGGGCAGCACGAGGCTGGCCCGAAGACGGCCCTGCCCCACTCTCCAAGAGTGGCGTAGTCTCGGAGACTAGCGGGAACGGCGGTGGGGTCAACGGTGGCGACGCCATGGCCCTCGCTCTTGCTCCAACCAGGGGAGGGGGGAGGGGGGAGGGGGCGACGAGTGTGCGAGCGCTATGGGTTGACCTGACGCACGGGCTGCCCCCCCCCCCCCCCCCCGGCGCGATTGATCGGAGGGCCCATGGGTTGGGAGTCGGCGGTTGGCTCGGTCAAAGGGCCTAGATGGGCAGAGGAAGAGTATGCGCGTGTATGTAGGGCGTGTGCGCATGTACTGTATCGGGACAGGAAGGGCGTACGGGCTAGAGAGTGTGCTTCGCTGTCGAGCGTTCGATTGGAAGCGCAGGAATTGTCACGGCGCAAGCCACAGTGGCTGGCTACTGGCTGCGACGGCAGCGCTGGTAGGAGAGCCATGTAGCATGGGCAGAGATGGCAAAGTAGAGCAGGTAGATAGCCATGAGCAGCGGCGGAGAGGACGGGGCAAAGGACGCAGACTGGTCAGCGACGGCCAGGGTGCGGGCGCCATCGAGAGAGAGGGCGATGATCGGCGAGACATCGATAGAGAGGAGGTAGAGGAGCGAGTTGACAAGCGAGAAGAGCCGGCGGTGGGCAAGAATCATCAACAGGCGCCAGCATGGCGAGTCTGTGCTCGAGTCTCCGGCCGGGCCGAGGACAAACAGGCCGGCGAGGGCGAGCGCCTCGAGGGCCATGGTGGGGATCGATCGGAGGTTGAAGCTAAAGGTGCCAGCCGCAAACGACTTGCCGACGATCACCATGCGGGCAACGAGGTAGCCGAGGTTGAGAGCGAGGGCGAGCGAGAGTGCCGGCGAGGCCACCGGCAGCGGCACGCCGAGGAGCAGCGAGGCGAGCGAGGTGTTGGCCACGTCTGCGTAGGCCACAAGTAGGTAGATGGCAAAGCCGGCAGCAATCTCCGCCAGCGACCACCTGCGCTCAATCTCGTAGTCCCACTCGCCGTAGACCGATGGCTGGATGGCGTTGCGGAGGGCGGCAAAGGCCGGAGTGAGGCCGAGCTCAAAGCCGGCCATGGCCACGCTGGCAGCCCAAGGGACCATGCCCGATACACACGACATGGTTGTTTGAGTTTGGGGAGGGAAGGGGTTGGGGGCTGGGGACGGGGAGGGGTTGGGAGAAGGGTAGAGTGGTGTGGTTGTGGTTGTGGTTGTGGTTGTGGAGTGTGTGTGCGTGTGTGTGTGTGTGTGTGTGTGTGTGTGTGTGTGTGTGTGCCTGTGTCGCAATGCAGGTGTGTTCCTTCCACGACCTTTTTCGCCCCATCGCCTACCCCCTGCCAAGGCCATGTCGCCATGCTGTTGCCCCCCCCCCCGCTCTAATCTCGACAGGCAAGAATGTTTGCGTCTACGCAGATCCTCCCGCCCACCCATGACTTACCATACTTGCCCCACGTGTCAACGTGACGGTGGTCCACGCAAGTCCACGACATAGTCCACAACCTGGCACTGTCACTCGCTTGTCTGCCAAGCCAGTCTCTGGCCTGGTCTGATTGTCTGCCATTTGGCTGACGAACGAACACACCACAGGACGGCCGCGACCGACCCAAAGCCAGCGGCACGCGTAACCACCAGCCGGACATCACCACTCTGCCCACCTCCCACCTATATATATACCACCTCTCTCTCTCTCTCTCGCCACCCACCCACCACCTTTCTATGGCGTGGCATTCAAGTGGGTCAGCCTCGGCCTCGCTGTCGCACGCGGCTCCTCCTTGTCCTGCCGCACGGCCTCCTCCCGACGTCGCCTTGGGTGATGGTGAGCCCGTGGACGCTCCTGAGCCTTCCCGCTCACCCTCGCCCTCCTTCACCGCCGCTTGGCCACCTGCGCCCTCGGTTCCGGACACGCAGCTTGCCGACGAGGCTCCTCCTCCTCCTCCCCTCCTCCTCATCGTCGTCGTCGCCGTCGTCGCCGTTCGCAGGCAGAGCAGCCGCTAGACGGGCCCCAATCGCAGTCGGGTTCACACTCGCAGTCGCAGTCGCAGTCGCTGGTGCGTGGAGCATCAGCAGCTTCCGAGGCAGAGACCGATGTCGCCAGATCTGGCTCCCCCGCCGGCTCGGACAGCTCTGGGTCGGGGTCGTCGTCGGCGGCAGCAGCGGTGGCGGCCGTCGCCGCCATGCAAGAGCGGAGGCGGAACCAGCAGGCATCGCTGCGGCTGTGGCAGGTCATCAACGGCGGGTTTTTGGCTACGAGCTGGGACTGATGATTGCGCTGAGCGTGGCCGTGGCCGACGGGACGGGTAAGGCCTGCGACGTGCCGCTCATCCGGTGGGCGGTGGCACAGCTCGTGCTTGCTGTCCTCTTTGTGCTCAACACCACCGCCATGCAGGTTGCCCTGCATCTCTTCCCGATCGAGCGCGTCGATGAGGGCGAGACTGACGAGCCGGACACAGCCTCGATGCGGCTGCTTTCGGCATCGTATTCGTTCGGGCGGATGCTCAACCTTGTCTTTGTGGTCCTCTTCTTTATTCAGCTTGCGTGGGTCATCCGCGCCTCGTCGTGCCACACCACCGCCCCGGTCATGTACCGGGTGGCGTACGTCACGCTCTTCATTCACGGATCGTTCCTCGGCCTCCTCGTCCTCGCCTGGTGCTGCGGTATGGGCATCCTCACTGTTTACGTCATGCTCCAGCCCGATGCACAGTTTGGCTACGGGCCCGACGCCGCGCCGCGGCTCGATCCACGGACAGGCACCATGATGGGCTGGCTCGGCGGGAGCAGGGTCAAGGTCACCTCGCCGGCCATCGTTGACGCTCTTGCCGTCGAACGCTACACCGAGGGCATGTTTGACGACCCCGAGGATGCGCAGTGTGTCATCTGCCTCTGCGAGTACGAGCCTCACGACGAGCTCATCCGACTCGCCACTTGCGTCCATCACTTTCATGCCCCCTGCATCCGCGAGTGGCTCACAAAGTCCTCGCGCCGCTGTCCGCTCTGCAACCAGCCAGTCGAGGACTCGGCCGCCTCCTCCTCGTCCTCCTCGTCGTCGTCGAATCTCACCGCTTCCTCCGTCTCGTCGTCGTCATCGGGCCCGAGCGCCTTGCTCCGCCCGGCTCGCCGCACATCACTCCCATAACCATGTCTTTTACCGGTGCAGCCGCCGCCGCGACAAGATGTCGCGAGTAAAGGCCGACTCTTCACGGCGAACGAGGTCCTTCATCGAGTCGAGCCATGTCGCGTGCTTGGCCAGCGAGCGGGCAGTCGCGTTGGCCTTGTCGGTCCACGCGGTGACGTGCCGGAGGAACGAGGCAAGGCGATTGCGGTCGGCGTAGCCCGAGGCCAGCGCAGACTCGAGCCGCGAGCTCCACTTGAGCTCGAGTGTCGAGCCGCCAGGCGTGTGGAGGCGGAGCGCACCGGGCGTGTCGTACCGCTTGTACCGCTTGCGGCGCGACTTGCGCGCCGGTGTGGCCGAAGCCACCGGCGGCTGAGCGTTCTCGTCGCCCGGCGGCGCCGCGGCGCCGCGGCGCAGTACTTGGGCCAGCTCGTCGAGCTGACTCGAAATCCGCTCCAGGTCCGGCACCACTCGCGACGCGTCCACATCGTCCCCGTCCGCCATGCTCTCATCGAGAAGTACCCGCGAGTCGTTGAGCTGCGAATCCATCAGCGAGACGCGCTCTTCAGAGAGACGCACCCACGCCTTGGACGCCTTGACGTATCCAGCGTCGCGGTTGAGGTCGGCTGCCAGCGCCTCGAGCCGCGCCTTGACTTGCGCTAGCACTTGCGGCTGCGAGTTTGCCTTGGCGTCGGCCTTCCACGCTTTGCGCTGCGACTCGAGCCAGCTCTGCTTGTTCCTCAATTTGGCGTTCTGCGCCTTGACCTCGGCCTTTGCCTTGGCCAGCGCCCGCTTTTCTTCGGCCACGGCCGCCTCGAGCGTCGTCAGCTCTTCGCGGAGAAGCTCACCGGCAGTCTCGGCCTCGGACCTTGAGTTGCTGCCGTGGCTCTCTGCATCGGCCACCTGGCCGCTCGCCCGCGGCTCCTCCGAGTCCGAGTCGTGGAAGCCGTGCGAGAGGTAGTGCTCAAACTGCGCGTCCGAGGCCGCCAGCGTTGCCGCACCCGGACCGGCCGACATCATGCCTGACGCTGCCGCGGATCGGGCAGGAACCTTTGGCCGGGCGCTGCGGGTCGAAGCCTGAGCCTCGAGGCTAGATATCTGGTCCTGCAGCTGCGACTGGTACGCCAGCGACGCGCGCTGCGACGCCAGCGCTTCCTCGCGGCGGCGAGCCTCGGCCGCCTGGGTCTCCTTCAACTCTGCCTCGAGCGTGTTGATCCGCGCCTTGAGCGAGGCGACAGCGGCGGCCGACTCGGCAGATGCCGTCCCCGCATTTGCCGAGCTCTTGGCCTCGTTGGCCTCGGCTGCCGTCAACTTAGCCTCCAGCTCCTGGAGCTGCGCCTGCAGCCGTGACTCGGTCTCCGAGTACTGCACCTTGGCGAGCGTGGCCGCCGCCCGCGCGGACGACGCCTCGCCTCGGGCCTCGCTCAGCGCGTTCATCAGTTCCTCAAGCTGCTTGTTGAGCTCGGCTGCCGAGGCGTCATACTGCGCCTTGGCCCGATCGTACGCTGACTTGAGCGAGGCTACTTGCGACTTGGACGCCTCGAGCTGCGCCGCGAGGCTCTCCTTCTCGGCCTCGAGTGCCATGACCTCTGGCGGCGGCGCGCTCGACGGCGAGTTAGCAGCGGTGGCGCGGGCCCGGGCAAGCTCCGACTCGAGCCCAGCTACGCGAGAGGCAAGTTCGTCGCGGAGCGCGCGTTCGCGGGCCAGTGCCTCGGCTCGCTCGGCCTCGTGGCCGGCAGCGGCGCGGGCAGCGGCGGCGGCTGTCGCTGACGCGCGCTCCGACTCGGCAGCGAGCTCGGCGTGTGCTACCTGCAGCTTGCTCTCCAGTGACGCGACGCGGTCGCGCAGCTGAGTCACCTGGGCATCCGCCTCGGCCGACGACGGGGAAGCCGAGGTGGGAGCGGGCGCGGCGGCGGCTGCGGCTGCGGCGGCGGAGCGGGCGGTGGCGAGCTCATTGGCCAGGGCCGCCTTTTCGGCCTCGAGCTCGGCAACCCGCGACTTGGCATCGGCGACCGTGGCGGCACCAGAAGCAAGTGAAGCGAGTTCGTCCTGCAGCTGCTTGTCGAGCTTAGCCTTTTCGGCAGCGAGCGCTTCCTCCTTCTCGCGCTGCAGTCGCTCGAGCTCTGCGGCACGGAGCTGGGCCTGCTCGTTCTGCCACTTGGTCTTGAGCTTGGCCAGCTCCTGCTCGTGCTTGAGCTGGGCGAGGCGCGCCTGCTGCGAAGCCTCTTGCTCGCGCTCGGCAGCGGCGGCGGCAGCCTTGGCCTCGAGCGCCTCCAGCTCGGACTCGAGCTTGGCGTCGAGCGCTTTGGTCTGCTCGGCGATGCGGGCCTCCAACTCGGCCTCCTGGGCAGCAAGCTTGGCGGCGGTCTCCTTGCGGGCAGCCTCGAGTTTGGCGTACTCTTCGCGGAGCTTCGATTCCTTGGATGCTTCGAGCTCCTTGAGCTTGGCCGCCGTTTCGGCGGCCAGCGCCGCTTTTTTGGCCTCGAGGTCAGCGGTGAGTGTGGCTTTGTAGGCTGCAAGCTCAGCATCTGCCTCTGCCTCTGCTTTGACCTTGGCCTCCTTGGCGCGCATATCAGCCCGCCACGCGTCCTCGCGCTCCTGCTCCGAGCTCACGACAGCAGGTGCCGGGCTTGCACGGCACGTGGACGGGAGGATCAGCGCATCCTTGAGCGAGGCGAGCGACTCAACCGACGACGTGGCCGACGAGATCGACGAAGGCATATCATCGCGCGTCATCGAGTGCATGCCCATGCGGGCCGTCGGGCGCTCTGGCAGCGGGTCACGACCCAACGGGCCGGCCGAGCCCGAGCCCGAGCTGGCGCCGATGGGCTCGAGTCGGGCCCGTCCCGCTGCAGATGACCCGCCGGAGCTCGCGCCAATGGGCGCCAGAGCCGATCCGCGGAGCGGGGCGCCAAACTTGAGGTTTCCGCTCGGCGCCGAGCCTGCCGACAGCGGGGCAGTAGTTCCGTTCGAGCGCGGCTGCGGCGGCTTGCGCGAGGGCTGCGAGGCCGACGGTGGCGCGCCACCTCGTGCCAGCCGCTCGGCCTTTTTCGCCTTTTCCTTGGCAAACAGCTCCTTGTAGTACTGGTCGCACGGATGGTCCCAGATGGACTCACCGCTGGAAAAGTTAAAGTAGTAGATCTCGCCGGTCTGCGTTGAGCACGGCTTCCACTCTGCCGGCAGCGGAGCCTTGAGGCCCTCCTGGGCAATCCACATCAGATCAGCATCGGCCTCTAGGTCCATGCCCAGCCAGTTGGCATACTCGACAATCTCTGTTCTCCATCACAGTGGTGAGCAGGGGGGGGGGCGAGGGGGTGGGGAGTGGGTGGTGAGTGTGGCTGTCTTTGGCTGCCTGTGTTGGCGCCAAAGTGGTGTTTGGCGCTTCCGAGCGCAGGCGGGGTGGAGACCGCCAAGGGGGAAGGGGGGGG